CTCTCCATCCCTTTTTAATATTAAAAAAAGTATATATATTCTTAATGAAAATATGAGAAATCCAATTAGTGAAGAGGCCTGTGACAGCTTCAATCTGCTCAAAATTAGAGATAGACCTATCATAGAACTCAAATATGCAGACCACACAGTTTTCCTTTCGAACAGCGTACAAGGCTTAGAAATATTAATTTCGGATGTTAAAAAGCACAGTGAAGAGAAACATCTGTTTTCTGAATCTGGAAAAAAACACTAAAATAATTTCACAATGATTACAGTACACCAACTACGTATTGAAATCGACAACAAAAAGATTGACAAAGTGAAATTTTTAATATTTAGACCAAAAAATTAACAACAGTGGCAACTGAACAAAAGAAATTAGAAGAACTTACCTTAGCAGTGCAGAGGCTAAACAGCATGAAAAACCTATGGTATAGCATGTACAGAAAGGTTAACGTGAAAATTTTGAGATCATGCATCTTTCCCGTGGCAACTTATGGATTTGAGTTGTGAATTCTTTGTAAGATAAAATCAGAGCGTTTGAACCGAAATGCTGCAGAAAGGTTCTTATAATACCATGAACTAAGAAGCCGAACAAAAAAGCGTTGACACACTGCATGACCTGAACATTGAGGAGAACTGGCTCGCAAACAGCATCATCTCCCGAAAATTGGGGTATTTTAGACGTGTTAAGCGCCAGGAGTGGTCTGGTGAGAAAGGTGATGGAGGGCGCAGTTTCCGGAAAACGATGTAGAGGCCGACCTCTTTGAATGTGGAAACAAGACACTGAAGGACCACTGGCCGTGAATGCACACAGGGCTGGAGATTGAGACTTGACTAGAGAAAGAGAGTCCCTTAAGGTGTGCCGGGAAGAGAGCCATGTTCTTTAAATGACATGCTGACTGATGATAATCTAATATACGGAACAGATGTCTTCTGTTCCATTTGCTTCTTTCCGTCTTTCCAGACGATAGTGTTATATTGCGCTATGATGAGGCATGCGACTCACATGGCGAGTGTGACTAACAATACCCGCCCGTGTCAAGAAAAGTCTTCCACAATTATAGCATGGGATTTCAGAACCATTGTTGTCAAGATTTGTGTTTAACCCGTTTCTTTTCAGACGCTCAGCTCTCATCCTTTCTGCAATTATTTATTCCTTCAGTCTCATTCCCTTCCTGATATGCCCTTTCCACACAACACGGTCCATGGCATATTTTTTCCATGAGTCCACCTCAATACCTGTATCATTTGTCCCGCTTGCACACATCTTTATATCGTAGTATAGGTCGGCCTCGACATCTTCTTCCTATCTGTTATTCACCATAAAGGATGTCCTTAGGGACTGTCATCCTCCATTCTCCAGGTGTGATCCAGCCACATGAACCTTCGTAGACTGAGCATGGAAAAAACTGTTGTAGTTAGTACCTGCTCTTTCCAGTACCTCAGTGTTTGTGATCTTGTCCTGCCACTTAATGCCAAGTATTTTTCTTAAGCAACGCATGTGAAAGCTGTTAAGCCGTTTCTCCTGGTGCAAATAGGTTGACCAACTTTCACTGCCATAAAACAGAGTGCTGAGATCACAAGCCTGATAGACAAGGGTTTTTGTTTTAATTGTGAGTTTTCTGTTCTCCCAAACTCTCTTTCTCAATCTGCTCATTGTTGTTGCTGCCTTACCTATTCTGGTGTTGGTTTTTTGGTCCAGTGATAGTTTGCTATTCACTGTGTTATAATGAAATAAACCCACAACCTACGCCAGGTTGCAGTCTTAGTAATTTCTTATTGCAAGGAATTTTAGTACACCTGTTATTTGGCATTTTTTAGGGTGCTTTCTTAATATTCTACCCCAAACAGGGAAAATCAACAGGTCACGGGGCAGTCTAATATCTCAGGGGGTGTAGATAGGCTGCATGCAGTAGTGGGACGTAGTCTGCACTCTCTCGTGGGACGTAAGTGGATTGGGTTTAGGGCCAGTTCTAGATGTTTTGAGGTTTTTAAAAGCATCAGAAAGAGAGAAAACCTAGTCTTACCATCCCCTAAAATGTTGGACTATCCCGTGACGTCCTCTGGGGTAGGATATTACGAAAGAACCTTTTCTAGTTGGAGCTTTAAACATTTTTAGGTATGTCTTTCATCTATTAGTATTTTTTTTTAAATATCTTGTTTAACCCTCAGGCTTATAATTAGGATCTGTAGTGTTAATTGAGTTCTCAGTGTATATATTAATTTTAAATTTATACATGATGTAATCATTTATATAACCAAAATGTTTTGTTTACCCATTTATTATCATTATTTTGCCCCCCCCCCCCTTTTTTTGTCTGTAATTTTATTTCCAGCAGTTCCCATTGGTGCTGGTCTCCACATAATTAGTACTGAGTATGCTCTGTTTTTTTTTTGGAAAGGTTGCAGCCAAAAAATATTCCCTCTGCGATGTCGTTTTTACCACACATTTTTGTCTTTTTAAGATCCATAATCGTAGGTAGGGAGTCCGTTAAAACAGTAAGCCTTTGTAGGGTTTATCATACAGCATTTCTATTGCTTTCAGAAGAGCAAACTCTTTCTCTTCTTGTTCTCAATTTTTTTTAAATATTATAGATTATTCTACTCTACTTTTACTATGCTATTTACACACGCGAGAAGCTCATGGGCTTTTACAGCTCAGGTTGTAATTAAAATTGTGAAGCAAGATTCTGTTGCTTTCGCCTTGGACTACAAATATTCTGACTACAGATGTCTTGGCAGTGACCAAAGCAATAACGTGGCAGGAGACAAACTCTTACCCACACATATTTTCTCAGTGACCCAAGTAAGCTCAAGAAGATAGAGATAGACTGGGCCCTATGACATTGGTGACTGGCCCTGCATCATTTGGTGGTGAATTGATGTATGAAAAGTTAGTTTTTGTGAGGGCCCTTTGGGAGCGAGTAAACTGTGTGGAGGCACAGATGGATTATTACGGTTTGAGGAGAATGGTGCTGCGAGGAGTTACCAGGGGATCTGTCCGACGCTCGCACTCAGGGTAAAGATGAGACGGATGTACAATCAGACGGTTACTTCTTCTTCTTCTGCGTTCGACATCAGTCATGCTACACGTTGAGTCCCGTCTGGGTCAAAAATAGGACTGTGCGTTTAAGGTCGCCACCGGTCCCCCATAGCTTCTCTCGCAATGTTGATCCCCTGGGCCAGATCCAGCCTTTACTGGGAGAGGTAAAGGCAGTACTGCAGTATGTGCTCAGGGGTCTGTCTTTCTGCTCCACAATCACAGGCAGCAGATTCTTTTATGCAGACGGTTACTGGTACTATCGGAATTGGAACTCTTCGTTTGCTGCTGAAGATAGGGACTGAGCACTTATGGGAGTGTCCTGAGTGCTGTCGATTCTTAATTCAACAGGTGGTCGGGGATGACACATATCAGTTTCATGTTCGTGCCAGGGCACTCAGGCGGGCAAGGAAATGATCAAGCTGACAAGACTTGCAGGTAAAGATACCGTGGAGCATAGACCGGGCTGAAATACTGAAGACATTTGTGAAAACAAGTGATGACTAAATCTGCAACCGTGACCAGACTGCAAGAACAGCATGTTAAAAGAGGCGTGAACAGAAAATAGCACCATGCAGAAGGCCAGAGAAGAATAAGACACAAACACAGAACTGGCGTCATCATCCACTGCACTCTGTGGGATTTACTAAGGAGAGGATCTGAACACTTATGGACTGAATAGTTCAATGTGCAAAGAGGATAATCTGTCGACTAACTTTTACCAAGTTGATAGACGTTCTATTACGTTTGCGGGTTGAACAACGGATCAACGTCATGGCACGCAGATAGTAACCACAAGGGCTCCGTTTTTGTCTAACTCAAGTCTAAGACCGAAGAAGCTCAGCACAGTTCACGGGCTCTGTAGCACGGCGAGGATCCTGAAATACTTTGGGTAGATTTTCAACTCAAAATTTTGCCCGGGCAGCGCCCTTGGGCTACTCTTTTCGATTTCCAACTGCCAAGGGATTTTTTACGTGCACAACAATGCACACGGGTGTCCGATCTCACTACCCAGAGACCAGGGGGAATTACTAAAAGTCCCAGTACACGCGGAAACAATTCCAGTCCTTTCCGGGCATTGAACCCGGAACCTCTAGCATCGAGGCGGACCCCATGCCTCGAGACCACGCCGCCTCCTAGACGTTCTATTAATAACACTCAAGTCATATGACCAATGTAAACACAAAATGGTGGCGTGCCGCAGAAAATCAACAATATACAACTTATTAACTCGAAATAATTCAACACAGGGTGCTTTTTATTGTAGTAATCTACTATAAAAAGTCTTTTAACAGATCGTTTATTAAATATCTGTTGGCTTTGAAATCAGTTTTTTTCCTATCACATTTGGACTCCTTAAAAAAAAAAGAAACCTTTTGATTTTGATACTACTACTACTACTACTACTACTACTACTACTACTACTACTACTACTACTACTACTCTGTACTAAAGTACTAGTACTAGTAGTACTACTAGTACTATTACAACTAAACTGACTTTTTATTTTAATAATTATTATTGAATGTCCTGCTGCTCGCTAACTTACACTTTATTAATATTGAATATTATTATTAAAACTTACGAGCTACATACAGCTTACATCAGTGCTACTCCCATCATAGACGTAGGGTGTTTATTTATTTTAATTTTAGGTATTTAAACGATAATTTTAGTAAATTTAATTTTACTATTTTTTTTACAGTTGAGTTGAGTAAACATAATTCTAACTAATAGATGGTGACTCAAGTGATTGGAAATGTTAAAAAAAAAACAACAACAAATACTTTAATTTTTATATTTATCAACAGTATGAGGATTGAGTGAACTGTGATGATTATGCCATAAATGTTGGCTAGAGATAGCAAGCTTTCTTGCTAAACACAACTGTTCAGGTTCAACTTACATCAGTGCAGGATTACCCTTTTAGCAGTTGGAAACTGAACTGTTCAGAACCATGGTGAGGGTCTTTAAATACCACAGTTTTTCTTCACAACGTGTCATCCCTATCGAGACAGAACCACTGACAGTGTGTGCTGATCATGATAAAGTGTTTGTGGCCACAAGTGATTGTGAGATCATTGTGTTTGAAGTCCGTGAACAGAACCTGGTGGAAACCCAGCGCTGTCCTACAATATCCCTGGTGGAAACAATTGTATACAATGCTTTCAGTAAGTTTATATATCTTGTTATAATACCTGTTAAGTGAAAGTTTTTTATATTTTTCTTCTGTGTGGGTTCCGAGGCCCCATTGGGAGGAAAACAAGAATAGAAAGGTTAAGGTAAAGTCGGGAGATGTGAACCAGCATCATAGCACACGGTTATAAACCATAAGTGCTCTGCCACCAGTACGGACAGCTGATAAGAATTGTCCACCTGTGTCGCTGTTCGCATATAACTCTGTAGCTACAGCGATGTTCCTCCATTTACCCCAGAGTATCACTCTGGTACAAATTTCATAGAGGCTGGGTGAACCCCGGGATTGAATTGATTATCCACTTGAAACTGCTATACCTTCCAAAGAAATGGAGCAAAAGTAGACCATCATCTTTATACTAACCGTGATCATCATCTCAACCATCGGTGTGGTCGAAACGTCGACCGTGGCTGCAGCGAGTCGCAGCTGGATTTAAAAGTGAGCTTCTTTTCGACTGCGCTAACACGGCCCCATTAAAACAAGAATAGACCCTGCCTATCCAAAATGCATACAAACAAAACTGCCATGGAGAAGGAAATATATGTTAATGAGGAAAGATTGGAAGTGGTGGAAAATTTCGAATATCTTGGGTCACTGGTTACCAACAATGGTGACACAATGAAAGAAATTAAACGGCGACTATCAATTGCCCTTCAAAGACTAAAACAACTGAATAAATTATGGAATTGTACAGATAGAATTACAAAGGTCAGATTTTTAAGAGCATGCATCTTTCCCATTGCAACATACGCCTGTGAGACCTGGACACTTACTAAACAAGCGGAACAGCGCATAAATGCATTTGAATATAAATGTTACAGACAGGTTCTAAGATTATCTTGGGTAAAGAAAAGAACAAATGCATCCATACTTCAAGAGCTGAATATTAAAGAGGGTTCGCTAGTAAAGACAATAAAACAAAGAAAATTGAAATATTTTGGTCACTTGAAACGTCATGGAAGTCTAGAGAGAACAATAATGGAGGGGTATATGCCTGGGAAGAGAGGAAGAGGAAGGCCAAGGAGAAGATGGGTGCAGGATGTGGCAGATGATCTCCAGATGGGTGTATCGGACGCAGGTAAAGATTTTCCGGAGGGTTGTTATGGCTGCGAGGTTCCGCGAGGGACATGCTACTGAATGAATGAATCCAAAAGCTTGTCATAAGAGTCAACTACTTGGGAGCTTCCTCTGCAGTCAAAGTGCATCTGCTGAGAGGCTAGGAACTAAATGTCTGCATACACATGAGTCAGATCTGTAAAATACCAACACTCAGGTTCTGGAACAGGACTAGAGTCCAGAAGTGGACGAACAACCAGAACTTTCTGCTGGAGATTACAGCCAGTGAACAAGAAGAAGAAGATATAGGTGTCTGATGTTAGTCCCAATTTTACAGCAAATTTGTCACCTTAAAATTGCTCTATTCATGTTCCAGCAAAAACCACACAGCCTATCACTGTCCCTTTTGAAAAACAGACTGCAGTAAGGGCAAAACCCTTTGTGTAAATACATAATAAATGCCAGACCCAACACAAACAATCCACCATAACAATGACAATCACAGTTCATCATTGAAGGAAGCTGCATTTGCCTGAGATCAGCGATACCATCAGTGAAAGAATGGTGGTAATGCAGTGGCCAGTACACTTGTTTGCTGTTTCATTGGCCATAGGTTTGAATCCCCCTGTATCAGGTATTGTAAGTTGACCGGAGCTCCAAGGATGACCCAACATAATGTAGATGCTGGGAAAAGTCAAGGTGGCTAATGTGATGTAACCACATCCCCATAAGCTGCCAGCTGGTCTATTAAATATTAGGCTCGCATTATACATATAATGGATCAAAGACATAAAGAGAATCTATTTTTACTGCACCCCAGGGTAGGGAAAGGAATCCTGTATTTTACTTTGCTTTACTCTTGTTTAACTTTACTTCTTCTTTTCCATCATTCATGAGTCATGTAATCGGATTGTGCATGATTGCAGCACAGCTGCGATATTTGTGTCTTTTGGCCATGTGCATGATTGCAGCACAGCTGCGATATTTGTGTCTTTTGGCCAGCATATCCAACTTCAGCAAGCATTTGTTGTCTCAGTGAGACTCCCCTGTCTTGACTTTTACTAAAGTTATTTTCAGTGTTTCAGTCTTTAGGATTTGGAATATTGATCCTGGAGGGACCTGTTGTAGTTGTCTTGTCCGTTCAGTTTTCCAGTCACAGTTTGTGTTGTATTTAGTATTTCATTGGTAAAAACTTGGTCTAAACTTTCGCTTTATTTTGTGGGCGTCTCCGCCCACTACCCCCACCCCTCTTTTTCCTACTGAGCTTTCAATGTGCATTTTATGTTGCATTTAGCACTTTATAATTTTGTTTTGTGTATTTGTTCCCATGTTTTTTTTTTTTAAACATCTCTATCCCACTCAGTTTGCACCTATTTCTTCTTTATATATATGTTTTTCTATTACTTTTCTTTGACATATATTGCTTCCAGGCAGATACAGTAGTGCAATAACTATTTTGTTTGTCCGCTGTATCAATAATAATGTGTTAGTTACCTTTCAACCAGGGAGTTTTCCATTGACCTAAGCTTCCATGTTGATCCATGACCTAGAGAATTAAAAATCACGATAATTAGTGTGGGGGAAAATAATCACAGTGCATACAATGGCGAATACAGGAGTTGGTTAAGAGCACCTCCTCCGGTGATGGATAAAACTGCAAAAAAAAAAAAAAAAAAGAACGTGTGGATTTCCTAGTTCCTAATATATAAGTGTGTGTCCCCCTGTGGGTTCCAAGGCATTATTATAGGGAAAACAAAAATAGACCCACTGCCTACCCAAAAGCATCTCGTAAGAGTCGACTAACGGAGCTTCCTTCGAAGTCGGAGTGCATCTGCCTGAGAGGCAAGAAACCATCAATCTGCATACAAATGAATGGAATCTGTTAAACGGATGCACATGCAACACTCAAGTTTTGGAACAGGACTGCATTCCAAAAGTGGATGAACAACCAGAACTTTCCGCCAGAGTTTACAGCTGGTGAACACAAAGAAGCAGAAGATATATGAGTGTCTGTAGGTTAGTGTTGTAAATTAAGTTCTACAGTCCTGACATACCAAGGTTTAATGTCATCTGCAAGCAATTTGTTAGCTAAATGCTGTGCATTGATTTCAGCAAAAATATGAGCATCAAACTGTTCAGAAACCAGTGGCAAACTACTAAACACAAAATGTGCGATATAAAACCACACAAAAACCAACAAATGCTGGCATTGGTTTGCAACTTCCTGAAAAGGATATGCAGCTTTAAAAAAAAAGTGTTTCAGTGCATGACATTTGAATTCCCCAGGGAGCTACATTGTGACAGTTGAACTGAAGAAGTCATGGATGCGCTTGACCAAGTCCGTTCGTGTTTACTTGAACTGGGAGACCAGTGTACCAGGGGCTGGCAAGCCCAGGACTAAGGTCCGCATTGCAGGGAAGTCGCATGTGCAGCATGTGTCCAGCACAGTCCGAGGGGAGATGATGGAAATTGTAGAGGTGCCTTTGGATGAAAATGCCACAAGTGTGGCTGTGTGCAGGTAAACCTGGCTGTATGTGTGTGGCTGGGTGCAGGCATGTATGATTGTGTGCAGATGTGTGTGTGTGCAGGTGTGTGTGGTTATGTGCAGGTGTGTGTGGGCCTGTGTATGCTTGTTTGCAGGTATATGTTTGGATGTGACTGGGTATGTGTGGTTGTTCAAATGTATGTGTGTAGCTGTGTGCAGTTGGGTATGTGTGGTTGTGTGCAGGTATGGATATCTAAGTGCAGGTGTGTGGTTGGCTGAGTCTAGGTAAATATAAAGTAGTATAAGTAAAGGTTTGAACTTCACTACATTATCACTCTGTTCCTGTGCCAGTGAAAACCAACCAGCCATGTTAGAAGCTCACGACTCAGATTGGAGGGAGAGTTGTGAAGGAAGATTCTGTAGCTTCTGCAGTAACTACAAGTAGTCTGACTATGGAGGTCATGGCTGTGACTAAAGCTGTAACATGGCTAGAGATACAGACTTCCACTAGGGCATGCTTTCTCAGTGATTCGATGAGTATGCTCAGGAGGGTAGAAAAGGGCTGGGTCTGAAGGCAGTGGTTGGTGGCTCTAAACAGTTCACAGCTGACAAGGATTAGTTTCATTTTCGTGCCAGGACATGTGGAGGTACAAGGAAATGAGCAGGCCGATATACTTGCAGGTAAGACTACTGTGAAAGCCGGACAAGCCATGGGCCAGGCTGATATACTGAATGCTCTAAGAATGCTCTCTGGTCAGACTGCAAGGACCGTAAGTTAAAACGGGGTGTCGCCAAACAGGAACACTATGCGGGTAGCCAAAGGATAATAATAAACCTACACAGAACTGGTGTCGTGAGCCGCTACATGCTGCAGGATTTACTGAGGAGGGGATCCTAGCACTTTCTCATATGGCTCAGTCTCTCTACCCATAACATCCAGTTGCCTACTGAGAGCATCACACACAAAGCATAAACTCCACACTCAGATGATGATCCCTAGGGGTCTCCGTAACAATTGCTCCAGTGAAACAATGCTATACAGCAAAATGATTCCAAGACCTTCACACCTTTTGATAGACCAGTTGGTATTTGGTAGTTGATGTTAAGGTACTTTTTTTTAAATCCACCCCAGATAAAGTATTCCTTGGATGAGCCCAGGACCAGAGCGTCATCAACATGTCCCTGTCCCACAAACTATCCTGGAAGTTAACCTGGTCAAGAAGTGCTCAATTAAGTGAGATGTGTGGCTTAAAAGGCCCAAATATCGCTGCTCTGCTGTAAGTAAATGGGCACAATGCATTTACGTCACTCGTAAGAATGACAAGAAGAAGGAATTCTGAATCAGTAGTGTTTCAAAAGGCTGACTGCCTCAGTGTCAGGCAAAAGTTCTAGTCTCTGCACCACTAAGACTTATTTATAATCAGCCACATCCTTATTGTTTTAATAATTCATAATTGTTTTCATATTTTAGGTCTACTGGAAACTTTGCTGTTGCATGTGGGTCAGAGGTCAAACTGTGTAGCGTTGTGGAAAAAATGATCGGCAATTCTGATAAAACTTACTTGGATGTTGAGGTAGGCAGTCATTTTGACCCAGATTTGAGAAGTTTTAAATTATTAATGACCACTAAACCTTTCATTTAATCATGCAATAAGAGGAATGTTATGTCAGCCAGTTATGAATTAGTCTTGAAAAACTATGAATTTGGGAACATGGCAGAACTTTGATTATCCAGCTTAAAATTATCTGGACTCGGTATTATTCGGTCTAGTAAAAAAAAAATAAGTTTTTGTCTTTTTTATATCAGGCAGACTGTTTCCCCCATTGTGTAATTACTTATCAATTAACAGTTAAAGATTTAAAAAAAATAACTTTTGTAAGTAAGCCTAGATTTTACATAAATATTTTTTTTTCATTTTAAATGTGCGTAGCCATACTGTATGCTGCAGTTAAATTTGACATTTATACATTTTATCTTCTTTTTTTCCCCCGTAATAAATGTTTAAAACATATATATAGTACAGTGGATAAGAAATATTTATAAAGCACTGGCCTGTACTAAAAGGTCAGAAAATATGAATAAGAGGGGTTTTCTTATGAAAAGGGTGTTTTTCTAATGATAAGGGTGACGTAGAAATTGAGTTTTTATAGTACTCCAGGATATCCTGCTGTTTTGTTATCCAGCCTACTCTTCTGCCATGTTAGGCTGCCTATTTCAGAGTCTACTGTATATTTTAAAAATTGGTTTTAAGGTAGAAAGTTTATGCTGCCACCTTTTTGTCTGTACAAAGAAATAGCCTTCCATTGTGCTTCAGGGAGGCATAGGAAGCAGCCCCTGGCAATGGTGAGTGTGATTAACAATCCAGGTCACTTTAGGAAGAATCTTCACAATAAGTGCATGTGACTTCAGGACCATTGTTGCCATCCCATGTGTGTGGCATGTTTCTTCTCAGACGCTTATCTCTTAACCTGTCTGGAATTCTTTTCTTCTTTGTCCCCATTCTCTTCCTGACTTTCTCCCTCCATGCAGTGACTTTCTCCCTCCATTCAGTGCAATGCATGGCATTATTTTCCAAAGAATCCACCTGAGTCCCTGTATCCGTCGTGTCCTGTTTGCACACATCTTTAAATCTTAGTTTAAAAAAAAAGTTTTATCATCATCATCATCAGGTGCCTTGCCGACTGGCGTGGGCGATCATGCCTCTCCATAATCCGCGATCTCCTGCAGCATGTATCAGTTCATGTGCCGACACACCTCCATGCCATGCAACAAGACTGTCAAGCATCTTCTCTCGTTGTCTTCCTCTATCCCTCCTTCCACAGATCTTTCCAGTGGTCACAACATGTTCTATTTTCCCTCTTCTCATAACATGGCCGAAAAATGATGACTGTCTCCCTCTGATGTCAGTGATAAGTTGTCTTCGGTCTCCCGCCTCTTTCAAAACCTCTTGGTTGCTCCTTTTGGCTGTCCAAGGTATTCTAAGCATTCTTCTGTAAAACCACATCTCTGAGGCCTCTAAAAATTGTTTGGCCTGCCTACCGATTGTCCAGGATTCACATCCATATGTTAAAACTGGATGTATGTAGCAAGCAAGAATTCTTTTTCTAACTCTCAATGACAAGGATATATTGCACAAGATGTTTTTCATTTTATAAAATGCAGTTTTTGCCTGTCCAATTCTGTTTCTTATTTCAGTTATGCATCTTCCATCTGATGTTATCCATGTGCCCAGATACTTAAATTTATGTACTTGTCTTAAAATAACACCATTGACTTTTATTACACATTTAGGAATAATTTGTTTCTTTGATACCACCATTACTTCTGTCTTCCCATTAAAAAAAGTATATATAAGTATATATAAATATATAAAATGCAGACTGTTGGTTCCTTTCCTCTTGGGCAGATGCACACCAGTCTAATAAGAAACACCCCTAATTAGTCAGCTTTTATGGTATTCTTGTAAGAGGGGCGGTGGTCTGTCCTTTTCCTTCTTACATTAGGGCCCTGGAACCCACACAAGGATAATAACAATATAACTCATTAAGTCCTTAATAAATCCTATTTTTCTATTTAACCCTACCAGACCTAAGGCCCTGAACCTAACTGTCCCTATAACCTGAGCTCCTGGGCATTACCGTGAAAAAACCAACATGATATAAAAAAAATATTAGTTACATGCAAACGAGTGGCTAGAATATGATGAAACTTAGAGACATTGTAGAAAATAGGCTTACCTTTTATCTAGCGCCAATATTCCACCTTTGTGTGCGAATTCACTCATCAGGATCAACTTTGTTTCATAAAGTGAACACCAGATGTTGTCATATGATGGACACACCCCCTCCTCCTACTATCGATCTATTTCAAGATTGATAATTTTCAAGATTTTCCTCATCATTCGCGCTCTCACTGACAGTGTCACTTCAAGAACGTATTCTTTATGAAATTATCACAGATAATATATATATATACATATATATATATATATATATATATATATATATATATATATATATATATATATATATATATATATATATATATATATATATATATATATATATATATATATATATATATATATATATATATATATATATATATATATATCACAGAGTCTGAATAAACCAAAGTATCGATCACCTGTTGGACTGTGAAAAGCCTAGAACTTGGTTCATCAGCCGCTCACTTCATTCCGAATTTTCCTAAATTTTTCACGTTAAAACACACAAAATTGATTCACACACACGGGGAAGCCATTTGCAATGTCTAACAAAACGGACTGACGACGATTGGTTGATTATTTTTAGTCAGTGACTCATCTTTCTCACGCACTATGCAAATAGCCGAAAAGTAGGGCCAGCGGTATGGAGAACAGTTATGAAATTCCCAGGAAACCGGACCAGTGGTCTGGTAGGGTTAATCTTGACAAATGCCAGTGTGAAACAAGGGCATTTACTCCTTGCCTGTATCAGGTTTTTCTCTGTACACGTAGCGATTTATTAACAGTATGAATAACATCCTCAGGTTCATTTCTCTACTTTTTGAAGCTTTAACTCTCTGAACCAAACAGTGCATACTTAGTATAATAAGATGCTGGAAAGCGTAACCCAGGCAACAAATGTCTACAGAAGTCAGATGTGTTGGCTAAAAGACATAAATATCATGGCCATGTTGTAATCGGGCACAATGCATTTGCATATTCTGACGAAGAAGAAGATATTACAATGTAAGCAATCATAACACATCTGGACTGGCTGGAATTATGCCTCATTTGGTAATCTTTCCTTCAGGAAATCTTTGTGTTAAAAGTGGTTGAGCCATTTGCCTTGTGCTGTGAAGGTCATGGCTCGTTTGCAGGACTGCATGATTCCTCCTAATAGTACCATCTTTACAGAGGTCCCTGGCGATAATTGCTGGAGCTACGGCATTTATGATTTGCATGGTGCTTTCAACAGGTGGCTAGCAGTTGTGCAGAAGGAGACTGAGCTGTCTGGGATAAAATCCAGTTGATCCTTTCAACATTAACCCTTTTACCCCTGTGAATGCTAAAACAGGGGTCATGAACTGTAAGAGTTCTCGGAAAAAAAACTTAAAAACAAAAACAACCACATTACACAGGTCACTAATACACATAAACAAAATTCTGCAGTTTGACTTACAATTTTTTTTTTTTAAAGATTCATAAAGGGTAATCAATAGACATGAACAGAGTAAAGCATTAGATGTAATGCATTCCCAAAGGTGTAAAAAAACAAAACATGCATCGGGTGATTCTATCACTGAATCTTCAATGAATTATTTGACATAAACTTGTTTTTATAAAAAGCCATACTGGTCATAGGGACCCCACCCGGCGCCAATGCTATTCTGAGTTACTAAATAATATCCTGGCCTGTTAATGTTAAATACAATGCATATGCATACAGAACGAGTGAAATTTAACTAGTCTTTTTGAGAATTGGTCACTGCAGACATTAGTTAGTTAGTTAGTTAGTTAGTTGGGTTATCCTCATTGCACTCCGGACATGTCCATAGGTGCTCAGATCCTCCCCTCAGTATGAACCCCAACGTCCGATGGCTAATAGTACCAGTTCTATGTTGATTAACAAGTCTTCTGACGTGTCCGGTGTGCGTCTCGTTTTTTGCTGTGCCGATCTTAATTCCCAAGTCTGCCATTCTGGCGAGTGATGTGGATTCACTGCCACCAAAGTCCTCTATCCTTCCCATTTCTCTGAGGGCATTGATAATATCAGCATGATCTATAGGCCGACCGTCGGTAGTGATAGCGGATCCAGCCAACCTGTCAGCTCTTTCATTTCCATCGACGCCTGCGTGTCCCGGAACAAAAATAAAGGTGACTCCACGCACAGTGGACTTCTGTAATGATTCAAGCCATTGTCTTCGCACTGAACCTGCCTGAACCCTCCGGATCATACTCATTGAATCACTGAGTATACATATGCGGGTGTATTTTTGTGTTTCAAGCCAGGCAAACGCTTGCGTCACTGCCATCACCTCCATCGTCATGCTGCTGGTTGTCATGGAGAAGACATGACTGCAGACATGACTGTCACAACCATGAGTGACTAGATTTAACCTTTTTGGGGTAACCTGGTTAAATTTATTTAAAAGTTTTTTCCAGATGTCATTTATTTTAATTGACAGCGGACTCTGGCCTAATAGCCAATTGCAATTTTAATTGCTGCATATAATTTTGATCTCTGTTTTGTTAGGTATTTTTGGAGCTGTGCTGGAATTTTGAAGTGAAGTCAGTGTCGCTTTGTGAGGAGTTTATTATCTGCTGCTCTCTGAAGGAGGTTCAAGGCATCAGAGTCCGGTTTGTGTTTTATGTACTATGTAAGATTTTAAAAAATTGTAAAATGATAATGCTGGGAATTTACTAATTAAAAACTGTAAGCAGGTTTTTCTAATATATATTGTTTTCTTTTTAAAATATTCTATAGACCTTGTCCAGTCTTTCAGCATCAGCTTTTTAAGAGGCATTTTGTGTGAGCCTTGGTGTGCAATATGTAGATGTTGGTATTCATAGCCTTGGTTATTCCATCTATCCATCACATTCATAGGTGACCTCTAGATCTGTTTCCATTGTGTCTAAGTGACAGCCCTCTGTGGACAGGCCCAGCAAACCAACAGTGGACAAAAGATTGCTCAAAGAAACATGAAAAAAGAGAATGTATTTTGAGGTGACTTAATTTCTCTGTGTGGATTCTGGAGCCCCAGTTTGAAAAGGAAGGGGGAGGTTAGAGAACAGACCCACTGCCATCTAACAGTCTTGTCATAAAAGATGACTAAATTAAGGATTTGCTGAAATCGGGTATATTAGGCTGAAAGTTACATATATCACAGCCTAGCTGTAAACCATAACACAATGTGCTAGCCACCATTTTAAGGGCAAGCACAGAAGAAGAAGTAACTTAATGGAATGATTAAAGTAATTTGCTTCTTGGAGGAGAGGAGAGACAGAGGGAGACCAAAAGAAAAGATGCTGGACAGTTTGACATCATGGCATGAAGGATCATCTGTGTCAGAGTTGATTGAAAGTACGCAAGACAAGAGGTTGTGGATAGATATGACTACCAATGCCCCACTGCATGGACTTTAAAAAGAAGTTTCTCTGTCTTTTCAGTATCAAATGGGTGGATTAGTCAGACTACAAACAAGATGAATTACTTTCAAATAAAGTAATATAGCCAGGACATTCCTGTTTTTGGCATGTGATATGTGGCTCAAAAGACATTGTGATGCTAAAACAACTTGGTGAGAATTGACTTGACACCAAGAAAAAGTCAAGTGAACGACCCTTTTTAACAGTATATTAGGTATATAGTGCCAACTGCATATTTTTAAAGACCAATCAGCACCCAGGGAAGGATGTAGTCGGTGTTCCAATACTTTAACTGTCCATGGCATTTGAGACTGAATTGTTAACAAAAGTAGTAATTCTGGAGTCAGTCGAAAAATTTTGGATTTCTGGCTTTTTTTCAGATATGATGAAAGAGAGAAAAGACTGCCTAAGAAAGTCCCTGTCTCTTCGTCACATTCTACAAGATTGCAAGAAGTCGGAAACTCAAGCCAAGACTTGACAGACAGCTACAAGCATTCCTCAGACACAGACTTCTCACAGTCCCATCATAGCGAGTATCTGTTCCCTAACCAGTGGCAGGAAAATAGGTCAATGACGATCTCATCACAAAATCAGCCAGCTAACTCAGAGTTTAAAACTCTCTACAGGACAGACAGTGATGTTAAAATTGCCAAAGATTTTTCAGTCGGTAAGATAACATGATTAAGCAGTGGTATTCTGTTCTGTTTTTCCATTTTCTTCATTTGTATTCATCTTTACCTGTTCTGCTTTATACCTATTCTGTTCTCCTTCTTGTTGTTTATGCTTACTTATTGTATCTTATCTACTTGTTTTTGCTTATTTCCTCATTTATGTTCTACTTTTTTTTTCCGCCAGTAATAACTTGATTGGAGAACTGTTGATCCTGAAATTACACAAATAAGAACTGTAGGATATTCTATACATTTTATTATGTCTGCCCCATCCCATTTTCATATTAATTGTTCTTTTATTTTCTTTTTAAATCTCTCAATGGCTGTGTTCCATTATTTTGCAATCTCTGTGTCCCTTGTATTGTCGCTTCTGCATTAATAGGTACACAGGTGAATATGTCAACCAACGTATTTAAAACAGAAAACCTTTTGTGGTTTTTAGCAGTGACTGGATGTGAAATCTGACAGAAAATCCTGGTTGTTTGTTGACTTCTAGACTTTGCTCTTTTTTCCAGGACTCAATTCTTGCATACACACCTTTTCCCACCTCTTTGAATTTTTTTTTTCTCCAAAGTTAGGGTTCTCTTGCAAATGAAATGGTTTGCCCACTTTAGAGGATATTATGCGACCACATACCATACAGGGCTTACACCAAAAGAAGAGAAGAATAAAGTGCACAAGGCAGACCAAAAGACAGCTGAAGATATAACATAAGAGAAACTTTACAGCAGCATGATGTGTCTATAGTAACGGTGGCCAAAAGAGCAGGAAGCAGAATCTTTTAATCTCCCTTGAAACCTGAAGCGGTAACTTAGGAATTGGGGGAAAAAAAAGGAACGGTTTTGTCGTGATAAGATTAAACAATGTTTAATGTTGAATTAAGAATCCAAATCACAGCACTCAGGACATTCCCATAAGTGCTCAGTCCCCATCTTCAGCAGCAAGTGAAGAGTTCCAATTCCAATGGTACCATAATCGTCTGATTGTTTATCTGTCTCATCCTTCCCCTGAGTGTTGAGCGTCAGCCAGATCCCCTGGTAGGATTAAACACTGATTATTTGTGCATGAAAATACATGAATCTGGTGAATAAGGTATTGAAAGTCTCTCCAGCAGGCCATGATAGGATTCTATACTCCTAAATGCAAAGTCATTAGATCCTTGTTTTTTATGTTTCTGATCAGTATGGCCTATAGGTGGGCTTACTGTTTTTAGTCGTGGCAAGCTTTTGCTGAAGTCCCAAGTGGAAGGCTGGGGCACAGGACACCTTGGTGGACAGAAGAAGTCAAATTGAAAATAGGAGAAAAGAAAAGAGCATGGAAGCAATACCTGGCAGCCAGAACAGAAATAGAAAAATATAAACAATATGTGGCACTCAGAACAGAGACCAAAAATATTGTGCTTAAAGCAAAACAGAAATCATGGGAAGAGTTTGGAGAAAAGTTGGAAAAGAATGCAAGAGAAAACCAAAAACTGTTCTACAAGACCCTTAAGAACATGAGGAAGGAGAAAGAGTGCCCACTTAAATTCATAAAAGACAAGGAAGGGGCTCTGCTTACTTCTACAAATGATATCATGGGCAGATGGAAAGAATACTTCTCAGAGCTCCTCGGCGTTGAGGGAAGTCATGACCCAGAAATAATGGACCTCACTGCTGAGAAGGAATTCAATCATGGGGAAGATAACATCAGGATGGAAGAATTGAAGGCAGCTATTGAGAAGATTAAGCTGGGAAAAGCAGCAGGTCATGATGGTATAACACCAGAGATGGTCAAATATATGGGAGTCGAAGGTGAGCGCCTTCTACTGAAGGTTCTCCAGGCAGCCTGGTGTAGCAAAACTATACCAAAAGATTGGGAGATTGCCATCATTATACCTATATTTAAAAAAAGGTGATAACAGACAATGTGAAAACCACAGAGGCATATCCCTCCTCAGCGTTCCCGGTAAAAGTTACTCTAGAATTCTTGAGCAGAGACTTAGAAGTCTGGTAGAGCCACAGCTGGACGAGGCCCAATGTGGCTTCAGAGCAAACCGAAGTACTCAAGACCTTATCTTCACACTGAGACAAATGAGTGAAAAAGCCCTGGAATATAAGAGTGAGATGCATTTATGTTTTTTGGATCTGGAAAAGGCATTTGACAAGGTACCCTGGAACAAGCTCTGGGACTGCTTGGCAGGGAAAAACATCCCAGCACCCCTGATCAGTGCAATACAGAGTTTCAACAAAAAGTGCAGAAATTATGTAAGAACAGCAGACCAAAAGTCAGAAGAATTTAAGACCACCAGCGGTGTTAGACAAGGTGATATTCTCTCACCTTACCTCTTCATTCTTATGATGGATGATGTCATCAAGACCTGTAAGGAGAAGACAAAGAAGTACTCTGTAGGGTACTGGAAGATGAGACCAATCTGTATATCAGAGCTGGCTTTTGCAGACGATGTGGCCCTGATAGCTAAATCAGAGGCACACCTTCAGTCCAACTTACTTTTCTGGAAGGAAGAGCTTGAAAAGAAAGGGATGACCATCAGTGTCTCCAAAACTAAAACCATGGTGATCTCAAGAGAGGAGAAGAAACACCAGATCATGATGGGACAGTATGCGTTGGAGCAGGTTAACCAGTTCAAATACCTTGGAATTGTATTAGACCAAAATGGAGGCATTAAGACTGAGCTGGATACACGAAAAGCAGCTGCTGGGAGACTCTTCCAGGCCTTAAACCGAGGGTTTCTTAGCAAAAGAGAAATTGGCAAGAGGACGAAAATGGCTGTTTACCGCTCTACCTATGTACCAGTCCTGACCTATGGGTGTGAGTCATGGGCAATGACAACAGCTCACAGAAGCCAGCTGCAGGCCTCGGAAATGAGATACCTGAGAAAGGTGGTCCAAGTGACAAGAAGGGACAAAGTCCGCAATCAGACAAAACGTCAAGATCTTGATACCCAGCCCTTACTAACCCGAGTGGATCAGTCACAGTTACGATGGTTTGGACATGTGTGCAGAATGGGAGAAAATCGGCCACCATGGCAAGCATGGGAGGCTAAGAACCAGGGAACCAGACCTCCGGGACGACCCAGGGTGCGCTGGGAAGACAACATCCGACAGTCCCTGACTGACAGAGGACTGGAATGGAACAAAGCCAGAAAGAAAACTGCTGATAGAGACGTCTGGCGATCTCTCTGGCAAACCTCTACACCCCAAGGTAGAAGAGGAGCGACTAAGTAAGTAAGTAAGTAAGGCAAGCTTTTGCTTCTGACAATTGTTATCCGTTGCAGTTTTCTCTGTATGTAGAATGAATTGAGTGCTTGGTGCCAAAACCAAGTATGAGCTGCGGATTTAGTTTGGAATGTTATTTTACTGCACAACATGGTTCGTGTTGTGAACTGCTGATTCAGAAAATGACAAGTGGCCTGTTGTCAGGAAACTTTTGGTGCCTTATGCAAGTAATTGCATCTGCAACTGTTGATCTGTACTAGCTGCTGCTTCCATCAAAATGAACTGTGGTGGGCCGTTTGCCTTGGCACTTCTGACGACCGCCTCATGCATTTAATATTTGTGTATGCTGTTAAATATGCTTATACTGTCATCTGTGTTTATTTTTTCCACAAGGTACAGTAATGGACATTCTATGTGGTTTTCGCTGGCACAGAAATTGAGCAACTCTTGAGATGACCTATTTGCTATGAAGCAAGAACTGCAATTTTCTGGTTACCTGTTTATGCTTGTATTGTTTATGATTTCAGTTGGAATGCGACCTTCACAGCATAGTTCACAGTATGACAACCCTCATGAGGCAACGGAGAACAACATAGTTGATGATGAAAACTTTCTTGAATGGAATTTCCAACAAGGGGAAGCGTCTGTTTGTCTGCCAAGCCTGCACTCTGGTGGTTCAACAGACTATCTCTGTTACCACCATGCTCATGCCATAAGTCCTCCAGTGTTGTCAGATTTTTCAAGTAAGTCATGCAGTTTTATTTTCTGCTGTTTTTTTGCCTTTTTAATTTGGCAGGAATAATTATGTTGCCACAGGTTTTATCCCATTTTAAATTGGTAATTGAAATACTTTGAATATTTAAAATAATAATAGTATACCTATAATGTCATTTCACTGGAACCAGAAGACAGCAAACTAGAAGACCCAAAAAGCACATGGAAAAAAATGAATTAGATACAGAAATGAATCAGCAGGTGAGTAGCAGGAACTGCAGGAAAACATAAGGCAGCTTGGCATGAGTTTGTTCAGACCTTTTGCTCCAGTAGGGGACAAAGCAGACAAAGAAGGAGGACTAAACACTCTGTATATTATACTGAACTAGGGGTCCAAATGGAGCAATGATGCGCAATACAAGACTCTTAATGTCTATTAGCCTCTCTTGCTCAAGCCTATCTCACCTTCACATGGTGGACCCTGTTCTTCCCAGCAATCCAGTTGAAGGTTGGGGTTTCAACTCCCATCGGGAAACTGGATGGGACAACAAACGAGGTAAAGGCGAAAGACGAAGCGATGAGCCTACTCTCCTTGAGTATAACCACAGTCTACCCTTGCAAAACAAGGTGCTGAAGTCAGAGGCAACCAGCCAGGAGGCGCACCACAGCAATCAGGATGCCACGCACATACGCCATGGAAATATGTCTAAATCAGCAAATCGATATGGTGCTCGCCCTGGCGAACGAAAGAAGAAGATACTGAACTATTGATGTATGTACACATTGATGAACTGGGGACTGTTCATGACTTGATTTAAGCTATCCACTGGCAGAGAATTTGTTTCTCACCTCTTGATTAGACTGATGAATAATGACATATCTCTGAGGCTAACATGATTACATGACCTCAGAGTGAAGCATGTCAGTGCTGTCTTGGAAGTCAAAGGAGACATCGTAACCAACTTCTCATGAGAATTTCTTCTTCTTTTTCATGTTCACTGGTAAAAGGTTCTGGTTGTTCATTCACTTCTGGACTTTAGTTTTGTTCCAGAACTTTAGTTTTGTGTGCACATCCATTTTATAGGGCTGGCTTATTTTATGCAGACTGTTGGTTTTCTCGCCTCACAGGCAGATGCACTCTGACTTCAAAGGAAACAGCTAATTAATTGACTCCTACAACAATGGAACCCCAGAACCCACTCAGGGACTTATGAGAACTATCAGTAGAGGTACTTTGAAGTGGCTGCTTCATCTGAGGACTGAGCTTGTATGAAAATGCTGACTGCAGTGATAATAATTGTGATAACATAACATTACCTCTTGGTTTGCTCAAATTAAGAAGAGGTAGCATTAGTTCTCTCCCTAAGATTTGCATTAGTGATTGTGATAACATAACATTACCTCTTGGTTTGCTTGAATTAAGAGAAGGTAGCATATAAATGCCGACTGCCGTGATATCGATTGTGATAACATAACATTGCTTTTTGGTTTGTTTGAATTAGTGATATTGTCAAACCATTGTGGTCTACCTAATCTGCAATAGGCCAGCTTCTCTAAACCTTGAAGCTTTGCTAACAAATGAGACATAAATAAAACTGAAGCCATTACATTTTGCGATGTTATTTGTGTTGAACATTTGCTGTTTCTTTTCAGATGGCAAAGGAAAAGCCATTTCTGGTGTCCAAGCAGAAACTGTTCTGTATTTGAATGATCCACAAGAGAAAGAAGAATGGAAATGTGTTATTTTAATTCCAACATACAATTCAGGTAAATTATCATTTTTCTTCTTCTCAAAGTATCATTCTTCTTCTTCTTTTTTCTCCTCCTCATCTTCCTCCTCTTCTACTTCTTCTCCTCTTTATTTTGCTGTTTCTCTTTCTCCTTTGCATGCTTTTCCTTCCCCTTCTTCTTCTTCCTCATCCCTCTTTTGCTCTTTATTACGCTTTGAAGTGCAGACCTGCAACCAACTCACATTAAGTCGGTTTTTGTGGCTGAAGCTTTCTATGAAATAGGATAAAATATTTTATTAATTATAAAGTTGTATTTTGTAATAAACTTTACTAGACTATTCCTTTGTATCACTTGAACATTTCTAGTTGTTTCACATTGTTTCTTTTGCATTTCTTTGTATATACATTAATTTGCTCATGCCCGTGTGGTTGCGTCTTCATGTTCTTATCTCTGACAGCATTGGAAACATTATCACATCTGCCAAGTTTGGGTACAGACAAAATGAGGTCAGTGTTGAGCGCACACAGAACCAGTATGTGCTGCTATATCAGTGGGACCAGGGGAGGTTACTTGTATCAACTTTCTCCGCTTCTGCAGCAGGTGTCTTCCTACAAGTACACAGATAAGGCCTTGCAGGTTAGTATACTTTATTTATCTTGCAGATGAATAATAATAGTAAATTCATCTTATAGGTACCCAACCTTCCCAAAACATTAACAGATGTAGAATTTTTAGAGGCTGTTGAAACAGTATGATAAAATAAATGACAGGTATTGGTCGGCACTCATACAAAGAAATAGAGCAGACTCGACACATTGGACAAGATATAAATCGAAAGCTATAGTTACATTGCCAGGAATCTTCTTCTTTTTCACGTTTACCAGCTGTAAACTCTGGGAGAAAGTTCTGGTTGTTCGTCCACTTCTAGACTGCAGTCCTGAGTGTTGCAAGTGCATCCGTTTTACAGATTTGACTCATCTGTATGCAAAATTTTGGTTTCTTGCCTCTCAGACAGATGCACTCTGACTTCGAAGGAAGCTCCTAATTAGTCGGCTCTTACGACATGCTTGTGGGTAGGCAGTGGGTCTGTTCTTGTTTTCCCCGTAATAGGGTCCCGGAACCCAACAGTGAATTGGCAGGAATCTAACCCTTCACCTCCAAATAATGACAGAGTCTTACTGCAGGATGACTATACTATGTCGGGTAACTAACTAGACACCCTAAGGCATTTTCTGATACCCATATTAGGATGTGTTGACCGTGGGAACCAAGGTCAGTTTTGACCTTGATGCGGACTCACACCGAAAACCTTCTGGCCGGCAGGCAGTTATCTAGCCACTACACAACCACAATTCCCTGTGAGTAGAGTAATGCTAAATAATGGAAAATCGATTTCTGTTAAGTTAATTATGTGAAGGTTTCTGTTTAATTAGTCAGTGGTAAGTTAATTATGTGAAAGCTTCTGTTTAATTAGTCAGTGGTAAGTTAATTATGTGAAAGCTTCTGTTTAATTAGTCAGTGGTAAGTTAATGATGTGAAGGCTTCTGTTTAATTAGTCAGTGGTAAGTTAATTATGTGAAGGCTTCTGTTTAATTAGTCAGTGGTAAGTTAATCACATGAAGGCTTCTGTTTAATTAGTCAGTGGTAAGTTAATTATGTGAAGGCTTCTGTTTAATTAGTCAGTGGTAAGTTAATCACATGAAGGCTTCTGTTTAATTAGTCAGTGGTAAGTTAATTATGTGAAGGCTTCTGTTTAATGAGTCAGTGGTAAGTTAATTATGTGAAGGCTTCTGTTTAATCAGTCAGTGGTAAGTTAATTATGTGAAGGCTTCTGTTTAATTAGTCAGAGGAAAGTTAATTAGGTGAAGGCTTCTGTTTAATTAGTCTGTGGTCCTCAGTTTCTTATAGCTGGTCCTTTACAGAACATTGTTCCCATCACAGCATGTCCACGGAGATAACCACTGTTTCTAGAGCACTAGCATGGACAGCAGAACAAGCAGTCACACGTGCAGTAATCACATCAGATCACCTGGCAACCAGTGTATTATGATAAGAAGCATAAGCAGAGCAGATATCATCAGCTCTGTATGGACTGGGTTAGATGATAATGATGAATTTCTGATGCTGTCACAATTGTGCGGCATGGAAGTAAAGTGTGTTGGAAAGCATCTGCACCGCCTTCAAGGCCAACATAGGAGACATTACAACCAGCTCCTTGTGGGAACAATCAGTAGAGGTACCTTGAAGTGGCTGCTGCAGTAGATTAGTGACTGTGACACCATAAACGCAACAACCCGCCTGAAAGAAACTTAACTTGCTCTCCTGTCACATGCACTTTCCTGCCCAAGGTGTTTCTTATGTCTGGTGCCCATTCTCATGGTAGTCAGTCCCTGCCCCTGTTACCCTGCACCAAACCCTCTGCTACTGGTCTTTCTAAACCACTGAAGTGTTTGATATGGTCAGAGTATTTCAGTATCCATGACAAGATGCTGTTTATGAGCCCCTTATTCCTAATGTTCAGAACTGATAGGTAGGTTTACGTTAAATAATTATAAATAGGTTTATTTCTAGTTAATCCTAGATATGTGTCTGTTACATTAGTTAATTATTTATCTGTGCTAAATAAATCTTAGGTCGGTGTGAGCCAGAGCTTTCTTCATGTGGTAACCTGCACAGGTATCGAGACATACACGTCCCGCTGGGGAGCAGTCGCTTTAGAGATGCAGGAGAAAGAAGATATTGAGACAGCAGATGGAAGACAGGTATTATATGTGTGTGTTCAGGCCCCTCAAATTGGGGGGGGGGGGGTACCCAATGAGCCCCCCCCCCCAACTCTTTCTACACCCTCTGCGAGAAAATGGCATGTGGTTTTATAGACGATTGATGAGAATACCCTGCAGATAAAAAGAGTAATAAAGATGATTTGAAAGAAACTGACCTACTGAGAGAACTGGGCTGCACATATCAGAAAGAGACAATCTACATTCTTTGGTCATGTGATGAGAAGGAGAAAACTGGAGTACATCATGACAGTAGGAAAGCTGGAGGGGAAGAGAGACAGAGGAAGACAGAGAGAAAAGATGCTGGACAGTTTGACATCATGGCATGGAGGATCATCTGTATCAGAGTTGACTGAAAGTACAAGACTTGGGAGCAGTTGGCTGAGAGTTTAGAACACCAGGCACTCATTTGGTAAGAAATGAATTTCTCTGTTGAGGGCAAAAATACAATTCTAACCTTCACAATCCATGGCAATTGCACTAGCCATGTGGTCCCTAAATCATCAGACTCCTACACTGTTCTAAAAAGTAGTAACACAGTAAAGGCAGTTTAGTTAGTAACAAATGATGACAAAAGTGAACTAGACTTACATCTGAGCTGAATTCACGCTGAAAATATGTTTCTCGGCATACAGCGGTCTTGACATGCTTGTAGTCGCCAGATATAAACACTGTACCGGTAGCCAAAGAAGAATAGTAAACCAACACAGCACTGGTGTTGTCAGTCACCATATGCCGAGGTAGATATTGAAGATGGGTCCAAGCACTTATTGTCTTGACCTGTGCACATTGAGGATGATCGGTCGATTAACTAACTAACTAGAAACGAGACATTTCCTTGACTGGTTCATTGTTGGCTGAATTTTATATCTAACATTTTCTTCAGAATCAAATAGCCATTATCGGTCCAGTTCACTTCGATGGTCTCTAATGGCATGCTTGGTAGGTTATATTGTTACTATTGTTTGTTTCCCTTAGAGGCCCTGGGGTGCCGAAGCAAAACATTTTGGGAGGGGTTAGGCAACAGCCCCTAACACATTTTCTTAAGAAAGAGAGATCTAAGCTTTGTTTCAGTGTCTAATAATAATTATATATTATTATTATAATGCGCTGAATGGCAGATAAATAAAAGAATATATTTGAATACATATGCAGTGTTTAAATAGGTACTTAAAAACAGAACTTAAACATTTCTTTAAAAAATTTTCTTCTAAAGAAAAATAGTTGGGGTGGGGGGGGGGGGGGGGGGGGGAGGTTTGTACTTAAGGTCCCTACTTTCTGACACCCCTGCTAGTAACACAGGGAGGCAACATCCCAGTAATAAGTATACAAATATGTTTGTGTATTTTTGTTTAAAAAAACATATTCTGGTAATGTGTATACAACAATATACCTTTAAAAAAAATAATTAAAGGCATATCTGATTATTGACTTTATATCATTTTATTTATATGCATTTGCATCTTTTTTTCCTTGGCTCAGACCCACCCCCCATCAAACCTGGACATTTGTTTATGTGGCCATGAGCCATTTCTTGGGGCAGTGGATCTCTCAGTTGGAGCGGATTTTCTTACTCTCCTTTCAAAAGTGGAGGATCCTTCTGGGTAAAGAAGAATGTAAATAATGCATGATTTGGAAGATGTATCTGTGTTTGTATCAGAAAAACCCTTATCTTCTTCTTCTTCTTCTTCTTCTTCTTCTTCTTCTTCTTCTTCTTCTTCTTCTTCTTCTTCTTCTTCTTCTTCTTCTTCTTCTTCTTCTTCTTCTTCTTCTTCTTCTTCTTCTTCTTCTTCTTCTTCAGGCATCAACCTGTTTATACATTAAAATCTTCTTCTTCTGCTTCTTCTTCTTCTTCTTCTTCTTCAGGCATAAACCTGTTTATACATTAAAATCTTGTTAACGTTAAAAATCAAGAGTTCATGTTAAATAATTTGTCCTAACTGAAGACTAATTATAATCATATGTCCCTGATCAAGGCTTATGCCCAAGGCCTCTTCAAATCTGAGGCTGAAAGGCAATATAGGACTAGAGACGAAGACAAAGAACAAACCCAGACAGAGCAGACAAAATGACCCTGGCTGCCAGGTGGATCCAGTGGTAAATGGGTCCAGGAAAGTAGAGACCGCTCTTGTGATGTTGATAACATCACCCACCGAGTGCCAATTAGTCTTTAAACTACAGGTCTGTCACTATAAGCCCAACATGCCTAAAAGCGGGGACAAAAGGGTGTTTACTATTACTAAACTTTGGACCCGTGTAGCAAATTATTAGCTTATTTTTACCAGTTCCATAGTTGTGTTTTTTTTCTGTTTTGTTAATTCTTGCTGAGTGTTTTTAATGTTAAGTGGAGAAGTTAAAACGCCTGGTTCTCATGCAGGGGACCTGGCTTCGATCCTCTGTAAGGGATCAAGATTTTTTCTTCTGTCAAAGACAAAATAAAAATCTTAACCTGCCGTTTGGCCCTAAATCCTCCGGCTCAAGGATCTCCATCCTACACCACCAAGTAGTTAAATGAAGACAGTAAAAATAATTTTAAATGAAAGAAAGGTAATCAGTTGACAGATGAGTGGGACACATTTCTTTTTTCTTCAGATGTCAGTATTTGTTATGCATCTGTTATTGATCTTCAGCAATCATCATTTGCAGTGTTTCTGGTCTGTTAGTCACAAACAGATGGTGTGCTTTAGATTTTCACTAGTTCCTGTAGTTTGTCTTGAAAAGTCACTTCTTTGGACCATCATTCTTTACTGTCTGGCAAAATCTGGGCAGTCTTGTAGAAAGTGTTGTATATTTAGTGAAGTTATAGATTAGTACCAGAAAAGAGATAAAATCAGGAATGAGGTCATAAGAGATAAAATCCTCACAAAACCAATTCTAAGTCAGTATTAAGGCCGTGTATGCAGAAGCGGGTGTAAGGAAACTACTATTTGTATTCGGTCCGACCGCAATTATTCGGCCGAATACCGAATAGTCAACAGGTCCACTATTCGGCCCCGAAGCGAATAAGAAGTGAATATTCGGTACAGCCCTAATATATATATATATATATATATATATATATATATATATATATATATATATATATATATATGTGTGTGTGTGTGTGTGTGTGTGTGTGTTTGTATACACACACATACAAATGTAGCTCAGGCATTGTGAATGTGCTTCGTAATTCTAAAATACCTATTCAATGCCGGCTGTGGACAGTTTGATAGCATACTGCTTTGCAGTGAAATGTAGTGGTATGGTAATGGTTTCTTTGTGACTCCATGACATAAGTTAGTTTTGAATCTGTCTCCTCCAGGTCTGAAGTTCACTGGGGTGTGTATGTTCTTCATTCATTCAGTCTTCTAGACTTGTATAGAGATATGGTAAGTGGTTTAGAAATTTAATGTTTTTGCATGTCATGACATTCACTTGTTACATTAGGCTGTGTGTGTGTGTGTGAGTTCATCAGTGTCTGTGGCTTAGAGGTTGCAGACACGGTTTGTAATCTTAAAATACTAGGTCTGATTCCAGTTTTAGGCTGTTTCGTAGCAGACCCTATTGCCTTGATTTCAGCAATGGTATTGAGTGCTGACCATTCATAAAGCAGTGACATACTACTAGGTAGGTAGGTAAGTTGTACCCCACTAAGACATCACACAGGCTATAAACACCCAGTGACACAAAGTGCCACCATGAGGATGAGGATCACCTAAGGAGAGGTCCCGGAAACCCCGTTCAGCCGTACAGCCATATTTAAGGCCCGGCTATATTTAGGGCCCCGGCAAAAGCCAGGGTGCCGCTTCAAATATGAAAAGTTGCACCCCACATGGGGATGACTGCATCAGGAAAGACAAACTACTGAATGTAAAATTGTCTTTAAAAAAACTACATACAGCAAACAGATGCTATTGTTGGTTTTCAGCATTTTGCAAAGGATTAAAAAAAAAAAAACTAACTTTAAAGAAAACAATAGATTTTTTGTGTGTGATCTATAGGAGGTAATTGCAGCACTCAATGCAATCCTTTATCAGTGCTGTGGAACAATTATTGTTTATTAAGATAGGTGGTGGGGGTGGGTTTAAATCCTTCCTCCTGATCCAAGTGAGAGACCAAGACAGCTGTCTTTTGATGCTATGTGCAGACAGAGTCGCTTGCTACTCAGATTGTCACATACCGCTCGTGTCACGTGCCTGTTTTAAGGATTTCTCCTTATGAACCAACAGCACTCTGAAATAGAATAATGTTGAGGTGTCGGCTCGTATTGGTCTAAAGAGTATCCTGTGGCCAATATACACCCAACTTATTTCAGGAGTGGGAACCTCAAGTTATGGCACTACAGAATATATAATATTCCTAGGTGCAACTTGGCTGGATGTCCCCACTACTATAAGAAGATAGCTCCCAGGCTATGATTTTGTAATATCACAGCCATGTTAACACAAATTAAGATTAATGGTTACACATACATAAACTCTAGACAGTTTGAACAGTGAATGATGGACACTCAAGTCAATAATGCAAAACTTCCAAAGGCATATAATAAATGCAACACATATATATATATCATTAAGACTCAAGCAAGGATGTTTAGGAGCAACTGGAATCAGGAGATCAGATCCCAAGTGATACTGCTAAATCAGCCAGAGACCTTTCGAGACTGTCTATGATCATCATCGTAACTCAGAGTGGACCTGTAAATAGAGCACAAGGCATCACACCACAGAGTTCTACTTATCCAAGTTTGGTAGGCGTCACTGCACTCCTCGGTTCATGATGGTCTGAACAGGCTGATTCGGTTGGACTGTTCCTTTTGCTGGTTGCCTTGGTGAACACAGACACATTCACTGGAACAGAGTTCTTACACGGGAGCCCAACAAAGCTCCTGAAGAAGGTTCTCTTTGACTGAGGACAAATGGGTGGCCTGCAACAACTGTCTCTTAGCCACTGGAGCCCAAGCAAGCTCCTGGAGAGAGTTCTCTGATGAAACGACGAATGGGTGGCCTGTAAGCTGATGCCTACACACTGGCTTCCACCTTGCTGTCTGCTATGTTGGAGTTGTGGTAGTAGGTAACTTAGTGGATGGTGGTTTGGTGGACTGTTGATTGACTGCCTGGCCTCCAAGGAGATATCATCATGTATCAAGAAGGAACTCAGAATTAGTAAGCTGATGTCTACACACTGGCTTCCACCTTGTTGTCTGCCATGTTGGACGTGTGGTAGTAGGTAACTTAGTGGATGGTGGTTTGGTGGACTGTTGATTGACCGCCTGGCCTTCAAGGAGATATCATCCTGTATCAAGAAGGAACTCAGAATTAGCAGTCATCTCAGGGGTCACATGCCTAGCTCATTTTATTAACATCCACATTAGTAATCACTCAGAGGACAGCTCTCAGGATAATAAAACAGTTAAAATCTTTATGTATCTCTGTCCGTCAGTCAGTAAAAGAGATAGGAGACAAGTTTCACAGTGGAGATCGATAGACTCTGTTATACAGAAAACATCATCTCTCCACATTCACATCTGCACTTATAGTCACACCGACAGTCTCTCTCTCACATATTATATTTTCCACCGATTGACATAAGTCGAGCCCATGTTGTTAGTGTCTGCTATAAATAACCTCTGACATCACAGTGTGTCGCTCGCTGTGTTTTGACCCATTTAAATCTGCCGGCTTCATCTCAAACTGAATCCCTACTAGTTAGTTAGAGAACGAGTCGCTTGCTAGATTAAAACATTTACATTAATATTGGGTTAGGTAGAGCACAAACTCTCAGCTTGCGAAGGGAAAGGTTTGGTTCACGAGGCCGTGAGTACTTGGACACCAAGAACGGTCTAGTTCTGTGCTGTCTCATAGCTGCATCTTTCCTCCCTTCAGCAGCGGGTCAACTTTATAGAGACATAAATAATGGTACTCGTAAACTATAATCAACTTACCCAAGTCCAGGATTCCTCCGAAGATTAAACTAGTACTTTGTTCAAGACAAAATTTTGGGGCGTTAACGTCACGAATAGTCAAATGTGTAGGGGTGGGTTTGATCACTTCCCGACAAGATACAGACATAAATTGGCTTGTGAAAGAAAGTGAGGCGACTGAATATCCCCAGAAATAGGAAAAGGGAATTTAGATGCCTAGACACCTAATAAAATAGGTAGCTCGACAGAGCAGATTACCCCTCCTGACAACTTCCCTTTCTGGTCATTAAGTTAAGTCCCTATCTAGAAGAGGTATGTTAATAAACAGCAATAAACTAACATCATGTACATATTTAGAAATACTTTAACTACGAATGTAAATCAATGGTACATATGTTTATTAAAATAAATTCAATATCAGTCATCTATTTACTTTTGAAGTTCAATCATCAAACTAAATAGATGATACAATGAAAGAGAAAATTGAGGGTCACACGAAACTGTCATCGTAAGAGAGTTTAGAATTTTTCTGGGACAGACAACAATTACCACCTGGTGTTTCTCAAAGGATCTTCATCTAAAATTGATGTGAAATGTTGGAACTGCACAAACTGCAGAGCAACTCAGTCATTACCTATGAACAGTCTGGCAGTGTTCTGGAAGTGCGTTCTTCCACAAGGAACAAAGGATCCGTCCTTGGCTTTTCAGCAACTGAGGATGGATGCAACCAGAAATATATATATTCTTTATAGAATAGAATATATATTTCAGACTCTTACCTCTCTCTCTTTCTCTCTTTCTCTCTCTCTCTCTTTCTCTCTATCTCTCCCTCTCTCTTCATATGGTCAGAAGTGGGATGCATGGTCTCATAGCCTTGCTATTTACTCTCAAAATCTGACATAATGTTGTAGAATTATCCTTAAAAATATTGATGATTCTAGATATAAGTGGCAGATTTTCCTACCTTCCAACTATTCCATTGTGGGATAATTTCTGGTCGTAACCAGCTTTTGTTGTGTTGATTAAAAAAACATCCTCCTCATATGTATTTTTCTTAGACAGTATGCCATCAACATCACAGCATTTATTAGGGCTGTTGTGTGTAAGTAAAATAATCACATGAGAATCTGTCCTGAAAACAAAGACCAGCATTTACTATAAAACAAGTAAACCTCATGAATTAGAGAAGCATGAGCCTGATAAGAAAAGGTTTCCAAGGAAATGTTACCAATGCATACACAGACCATGATAAACAGCCATAGATCGTTATGTACCAGCAGTAGAAGATGGAAAATTTCTTAAGAGTCCTAGATACATAGGAAAAGCATTCTACATTCAGAAAGATAGGACTTGCATCTTAAATGTGTAGTTCCAGATCCACTTGTAGCTGCTGAAAAAAATTCTCATGGTCCTTTATCTGTAGGGATACAATTCTAGGACAGTAAGCAAACAAAGTTCAGCTCTGTAAAGTAAATAGTTATGTATGTAACAATTACTCTCTTCACCTTGAGATAGATATAAGAATATACAGTGAGTTTGGCCATGCGTTTTTAAGCTGCTTGAAAGACAGAGATAACGTTGTCTTGCAAAACTGGACTCATTTCTTTCACACCAACTGGAAGTGACTGTATACTCTTTTGCACCAGCATGATCTTCCTTTGTAGCCAGATTTAGCCACAAAGTTGCTGGGTGCTAGTAGCAATTTCTGTAAGCAAAAACTATGGGCTCCGACATGCCAGGAAATTGTAGACAATATAGAAAAGGAATTCCCTATGGATATCCCTCTATGTCACAGATGAATACCATGACATCACTCTTCTCCTGGACATCGCAAGCAGGAACAAATCACAGAGTGAAAGGGTGGCATGTCATGCGAGGTATCACTTTCCACATGAAGCAGCATCTCACATCAGGCACCAGATTTTTCTCAGAAATAGCAACCTTATATGCTGACATTTCATGCTTTGAGGTTTAATGCCCTTGTTCCTGGATAGTTAATACCTTTGTTCCTTGAAAGTTAATGCCGTTGTTCCCTGAGAGTTAACACCCATGTTTCCTGAAAGTTAATTGCCTTGTTTTCTGAGAGTTAATGTCCTTATTCCCTGAGTGTTATTGCCTTTGTTCCCTGAGAGTTAATGCCCTTGTTTCCTTGTTGTTAATGCCTTGTTCCATTAGAGTTAACGCCTTGCCTTCCTGAGAGTTAAGGCCTATGCTCCCTCTTCTGTTGCAGATTGCCTGGGCAGACAGGATTAAAATTACAGGCCCAGCTTCCTACATCCACATTCTTCAAGAAGCCCATCTGTTACTGACCACAAACTCCATGTTTAATGTGAGCAAGGACTCAGAGATCAGAGAATGCTATCGTGAGGTGTGTCGGAGACTAGGGGAATATTACTCTCAGTAAGTACAGATTTCCTATTAATAACAGACCACCTATTGAAAACACATTTGAGCAGAATAAATCAATAACTGTTTGTTGATGAGGTGTGAGTGGCGAAAATACTATTTAGCAGTATGTAGCCATATCTCTAAATGACAGTTACTGTTGTCATTGCTGCTGCTACTATTACTATTTCTATCACTGCTGCTTCCTTTGCTACTCTTGCTGCTGCTGCTGAACAAATACTACATGTACTGCTGTTGCTACAGATGCTACTTCTACACTGCTGCTGTTGCCAACCCCACTAGCACTGCTGCTGCTGTCTTTATTCCTATTGGTGCAGCAAGTATGTCATAAGAGGCAGCTAATTAGGAATTAGCTGAAATTGGATGTGTTAGGCTGAAAGGCACAGATGTCACAGCCTAGCTGTGAGCCATAATAATACAACTTGCCAGCCTCCCTTTTCAGGAGAAGTGCTGAGTAAAAGAATATGCCAACTGTCCTTGATTGCCTCTTACAGCATGCTTGTTAAGGCATTGTGTTGCTGCTCTTACTTTCCTAAAAAGCCTCCGCAACACATAATTAACACTTCTTCTTCTTCAGCATTCTGAGCCCTTGAGATTCATTGCTGCAGATATCACCCACTTGCATTTATTTCTTTAACTGGTCTTCTCTTTCCAGTTGATGACTCCAGGTTTTTTGTAGGTCCATTTTTGTATTATCTCTCTGACATCTTCTACTATTACTGTTTCTATCACTACTATTGTTGTTGTTACTACTACTGTGGCTGTTACTACTGCAGCTACTTCTGCTACAATCGCTGCTGTAATATTACTATGATATCTGTGACATACTATTAAAGTTTTACATTTTATTGTCCAGACCAGGACAAGATGATTGGGGTCTCTGTTGGCCATACTACAGCAATTCTGGAGCTTCAGTCCAGGAGCTTGTTCAGAGGGCACAGGAGCAAGCGGAGCAGGTGCTCATCGTTGTTGTCATTGAATGTGAGACAGTGCTAAACTGTTTTTCTGAAATCCTCCAGATCAATGGTTCCCAATTAAATAAGACCTAGGCCCTTCTTATTTTATGTCTGCCATGGACCCCATACTTCTTATAAGTCATGTCGAAGGACTTATTGTAATTTATATAAATATTAAAACTTCAAAAAGCATTGTACATGGTCTTATAAAAAAAATAAAACCCACTGAGTTCTATTCTTACAAACAAGTCGTAAGTTGAACTGATCTGTCAAAATAAAACCTGTCACTACTATCTGTATTTACTGCTTTTTAGTACAGTGTAAGGGGGATCGTCAACCTGTAAATTTGAGGTGGCATGGCTAGTGCTGTTGCCACAGACGGCAAGTTAGGATGTTTATTTTTGCAGTCAAGCTGGTTGTAAGTTGAATTTATATTATATTTTTCAACACCGTTTTCATTCAAATTAGTTGTAAAAATAGTACATAAAACAGGTAGTGGGAGGCCTGCAGTTCCACAGTCTGCCGTTACGGCTAATGTCAAGCAGACTGTACTATCTTTTTGGTCTACGTCCTTCTCCACTTTTCGTATAGGCCTTGTACAGTTAAGCATCAGAAGGCATTCTCTCCAAATGAGCAGACCATTTGATTTGCTGTCTGTGTTTGTAACTTAGAATTGGTTCTGTGCCGACTTTATCTTGTATGACCTCATTCCTGATTTTATCTCTTCTGGTAACTCCTACAGTCTTTATCAGACACCTCATTTTCATAGTTACTAATTTTTCTTTATGTTTTGTTGAGAGTGACCAGTCTGGCACTGATAGCATAGAGTGGGAATGAATATGCTTTGTATGAGTTGTTTCTTTGTGCTGATTGGAATTGCCTTATGCTTTAAGAGGGGGACTAGCTCTCCCAATATTTGGCCTGCTTAACTGCATCAGATGTTAATTTATTAATCCAGTGTAACATCTTCAGTGAATGTTGTTCCAAGATATTTAAACTCAGATGCCTGTTTAATAAATGTATGTGCAGATGGTCATAAGGTTCATAGGTCATAAAAAAGGAAAAAGGATATTCTAAACTGAGTTTTTTCATAAATAATATCACAGACCATTTAAGTTTGTTACATGGACCCCTAATGTGGGAAATACTGCTCTAAATCACGCTAAGGTAGACTGTGCTGGCCAATGGAAAGATCCAGGAAGGCGATGATGTATGGAATCTGTAGTAAATAGATTTCGCCAAGAAGTTTCAAGCACACACTGACTGACATGCTTGCCCAGCGATTGTGTGTTTAAACTCTCTTCACTTGTGGATTTTTATAATTTGTTCAGATTCCCAATCTGACCCGTGTAGAGTCTGTGGCCCCATTTGGGGAAAACCAAAAACGGCATTGCCAACGTCCATTTTAAGGACAGGCGCTAAGTAGAAAAAGATGCCAACCCTCCTTGGTTGCCTCTTACAGCATGCTTGTTAGGACATAGTGTTGCTATCTTTGGTTTTCATAAAAGGCCTCAGCAACATATGAGTAACATACTTCTTCTTCAGCATTCCAAGCCCTTAAGATTCTTTGTTTGCAGATATCACCCACCTCCATTCATTTCTGTGATTGACCTTTTTTTCTACCTGGTGACTTCAAGTGCTTTTAGGTCTGCCTGTAAATTATCTCTGTTATCTCTCTTCTTGATCTGTCTTGTTTATAATCTCATTATGCCGCTGTTGATGCATAACACTCACTTACCCTTATAGCCCTGCCCGTCTTGTCTACACACAACCCGTCTGACCAGTAATTGACCTGTCTGCTGTTTTGAGTCAGAGTCTAGTCGTTGTTTGTCTTTCTCTCACAGTGTGTGGTCAAGTTGACTCATGACAGGCACCCACAAGTGATCTCCAGCCAGTCTGCTGCTTTTGCTTGTGGTCTACTTCCATTCAGCTCTTTTGTGTACAACTTTTTTTTTTCTCTCTGTTATCTGGCATTCTTTCTGTATGCCTCAACCCTAATTCTTTTAGCCCTCATGAGGCCAGTAATTAGTGGTGATTTAAACAGATTATAACTTTCATTCAAGACTGAAATGGTTTGACAATTTAACGAGAATGAATCAAATGATGCCAGCAGTGAGAGCCTACCACATGAAGTAGAAACACCAAGAGTTAAGGAACAACCAAGAAGAAGATGAACTGAACGAATCACTAATGCCTTGAAATTCCACAACACCACAGCATACCAGGCAACCCAACATGCCCTTGCTTGGATTCCGATAAACTTTTAACTTGCGACACCTAGCGGCACAAATCAGAATATGTACAAAGCAAAGAAAGAAGAATTTCACTGTTGCTTCTCACTCTCCATTCTCTTCTGTTTGTACCTGACATGGATCCAAAGACTTTTTAAAAGACTGGTTTTTACTTGTACTCTTAAGTTTCAGATCATGACACACTTACAGTAACTGTAAATGTTTTTTCAACAGACAAAACCACAAGAGTTTGGAAAAGGACTCATTGACTACTTGGACAACGTCTTGTTTGCTCAGGACAAGGCTGTAAACTTATCAACTCAGGTTTCAAATGTGGTCCTCAACATATATGCAGTTTCAGCACCAGAAAAAATATCCCAAGTGATCCTTTTGTCAAATATGAAATCATTTTCAACAGGTTGGTTCAATGGTACTTCATCATCATCATCATAATGTAGCAGGTTCTTTGCAGAACGTCGTTCTCATGACGGTCTGCCTGAAAGAAACTCTGTCTCCTGCCAGTTCTCCCACCCTAAGCACTTTCAGTATTCAGGGAGTCACTTATATCTTGTGCCCATCTTCTTGTTGGCCAGCCCCTGCCTCTTCTTCCAGGTGCCATGCCTTCTGCTATTGTTGTTTCCAGTCCGTCATGGCACTTGATATGGCCAAACTATTTCAGCTTCCGAGACAGGATGCTGTTTATTTGCCAGTCTTCCTTGATATTCATAACTTTCAAAATGTCTCCTCTTTTTTGTCCATAATATTCTGAGAAACTTTCTGTAGCATTTCATCTCAAAAGCCCCTATTTTCTTTCTTGACTGTGAGATAGTCCATGACTCACATCCGAATGTTGCTACGGGGAAGATACATGCTCTCAGAATTTAAATTTTGATTTCCTTGCTGGTGCTTAACCATAGACTTGTAATGCTGTTTAATCTTTGCATTGCTATGGGCATCCTTCTTGTGATTTCTGTGGAACAGTCTCCGTTGCTATTTTTTTTTTATAGAGCCTAGACATTCAAAGTTGTGACATTTTTAATTTATTCATTTTTTTGGGTGGTCACAGCCAGTTTTATTTGAGGACATTATTTTCATTTTCTTTAGATTTAAGAAAAGGTTTTGATCTTCACTGTGCTTTTGAACAGACATGACTGAATTTTCTATTCCTTTACACTGTTTGAAATAAGGACTGTCATTTGCATCACGAAGTTCGGGAATAGGGTTGCCACCAATTATGAGCAGTTATTAACTGTCACACGTCTGGTATTTTTGACATTTCTCATTATGTTTTCTGCATATATATTAAATAGGGATGGGGAGAGAATACATCCCTGCCTCACTCCCTTTTGCACATTGAACCAGTCCGATATTTCACCAGATGGTGTGATGGCTGCTTGTTGTTCGTGATATAGATTTTAATTTCAATGCACCTAATGCACTGGAAACCCCATCCTTGTCATGATACTCCACAATTCTTGATGTCGGACACAATCAAATGCCTTGCTATAATCAGTGAAACAAGCATGGAGATTGTCGCGTAACAGCCCACACCCCTCTGTCATGGACCTGCACATATCTTATCACTTCATGTAAATGAGGCACTTTCAAATGTTGGACTTTCCTCCATAGGTAAATAGTCCTTCTTTTGTACTTATGTGTCAAAATGTCGGGTTAAGTACTCAATTCCATCCAAATTCTCTTGGGAATGACATATATTTTAATTCAGTCAAATAGGTGGGAGATTCATTGATAGTGAAGCCAAATTCCATTGGCCTAACTACCGCTTTGGATGCGGATGAATCCTCTCTAGCTGGAGAGTTGAACTCATTCTTGACTAAGCTTCCAGATTGAACAGATGGCTTGCTGTCTTTTTTGTCTGTTTGATTACCTCCATTTGAATCACCGATTCATCAGGGAACGTCCACGAGCATGAGATGTTAATAATATCTGAAGGCCAAGTCGACGATCAATATCGTAGCACTATCCAGTGTTACCCACATACAGCTTACATACAGAGTGAGGGATCCTCAGCGAACAACTCATTCTGGTCCATACACCATGTTAGTGGCTACTTAAGATGAGGATGGTCTGTTGTTCTCTAAAATGCACCATCAGCTTCAACCCAGAAGACTTTTTTGTGAGGGGTTGCCAACAACTGCCACGACTTGAATTAGCACGTACTGGCTTTGCCCATTATAACACTTTTTTCCTTTTTATTTTAAATTCTGCAACAAGAAGTTTATGATCAGTTTTACAATCAGCTCCAGGGAGTGTCTTTGAAGATGTAATTCATGTCCTCCATTTTGTTGTTGTGTTAAAATGTAATCAGTTTGGTTCCTGCTATTTCCATCCAATGAAATCCAGGTTTAGAGCCTTCTTGGGTGTTGTTTAAACAGTGTGTTGATAATAGACATATTTTTTATTTTTAGAATTTGCTCAGTCTCTCCCCTCTCTCATTTCTATCTCCTATGCCAAATGGGCCTCTTACTATTTTCTCTTGCTCTATTCTACCCCCATCAGTTTTCATGTTAAAATCCTTGCCCAAGATGATTATGAGATCTCTTTTTCTACTCTTTCTGTCTCTTCTAAACTGCTATAAAAATTTTGAATTTCATCTTCCTCTGATGCAGTTGTTGGGGCATACACTTGAATAAATGTGATGTTCCTTTTCCTTGACATCATGTCTGACAGAATTCGGTCGCTGATCAGATTGTATCCAAGAAGTGATGAAGCAACTTTTATCGTCATTAGAAATTCCACCCCGCTTAAACCACTCTTTTCCTTTCCTGAATAAACAAATGTATCTCCTGTTTGAGTCACACAGTAGCCTTGACCCGCCCATCTATTTTTAGAAATTCCTAGTGTATCTATTTTGTTTATTTCAAGTTCTCTGCCAATGATAGAAAGCTTTCCCTGATACAAGTTCCTAACATTCCATGTTCTTAACTTTAGAGATTTATTTAGAGCAGTGAGAGAGTATTATATTGTAGTACAGAGGTCATTTATATAAAACAGATATATCAGTAGTAAATTTACAAGGTGTTTTTTTAACGCGTATAGAAATTTTAATATCTAGGTACATGAAAAACATCTGATGGAAGATGTATCACAGAGCTAAAGAACAATATGGGACAGACCAAAACTGCATTTTATAAAATGAAGAACATTTTATGCAATAAATCCTTGTTGTTGAATGTTTGGGAAAGAATTCTTGAATGCTTTATAGAGCCAGTTTTAAAATATGACTGAATCCTGGACAATTAATAAACAAGCCAAACAATGTCTTTAGGCCTCAGAGATTAGATTTTACAGAAGAATCTTTAAACTCCCTGAGTTCATGGTTGTCCAACAAAGCGAGAAGTTCTCAGCCAATCAGGTAATCTTACACTGTCATGAGATCAACATTTGTCAGTGAATTCCACTATGTGATACCCACATAGTGATAGTCTTATAATCTTCTTCTACATTTGCCTTTCTTCAAAGGGAGGTTGGCATGATCTGTGTGGTTTACAGCTAGGCTGCAGTGTCTGTGTCTTTCGGCCAAGCACGTACGATTTCAGCAAACATATTATCAGTCACCTTTTTTTTAAATGCTTCTTAGGTCAACAGTGGGTTTGTCCCCCCCCCCCCACCAAAATTTGGCCCACGAACCTACTTGGAGAATAGTGTTATAATCTTCTAAATTCGGGTTTCTTAAAAGGGAGGTTGACATGATATATGTGGTTTACGGCTAGACTGCAATGTCTGTGTCTTTCAGCCAAGCACGTACGATTTCAGCAAACCCATTATAAGTCACCTTTTTTTGAAATGCTTCTTAGGTCAACAGTGGGTCTGTTCTTTTCTCCCCACCAATATGTGGCCCACGAACCCACTTGGGAAATAGTATTGTAATAAGTATGGTGATCTAGTGGTTTGTTTTTTAGCCTCTAAGCAAAGTAGTCGTGAGTTCAACCTCCAGCTCTGGCAGTGCTGGTTTATGCCTGAATAGTTTGATCCTTTTGCTAACCATCCCAGTAAAACATATATCTTACATCATCATCATGGAACAATCCTTTACAGAATTTGCTTTGATCCCAACAAATCTGAAAGATTGTCAATCCTTTGCCAGTTCCACTGCCTCATTATACAAAATGTGCAGTAAATTTTTGTTAAATGTTCTGTGTCAGGGTTTTTAGCTATGTTATGAGAAGAAAGAAATTAGAAAATGTTGTGACTACTGGAAAGATTCGTGAGACGCAGAGGAAGACAAGGTGAGAAGATTCTTGACAGCTTTTTTTTTTTTTTTATTGGATGGAGAGGGTGTCAGTGCTGGTGAATGCTGTTGGAGATCGCAGATCGTGAAGAGGCATGATCACCCATACCAGTCGGCAAGGCACTTGACGATGATGGTGTGTCAATTGTCAAGCTGATTGGGTGAAAAAACAGCCAATCAAATTTCAGGAATCATCAACATCCATCAAGACAACCAGAATTTTAGATCTTATTTATAACCATAGCTTGCAGGAGCAGGTTGAACTAGATCATATTTTTTTCCTACAACCCTTAAGCTTTTCACTCTGGTGACCTAGAAAAAACCAAAGCCAGGCTCACGTACAAAAATTTAAAAACAAATATAATCCTGAAAACAAAAAACAACCATTTTACACATTATAAAAACAAAAATTGCACTAAATCAGTTTATCATCTAAAACATGAACAAATACTAAACAGACCTCAGGGAGTCATAACTGAACAATGAATGCAGCGTAGAATTGTCTGGCTTACATCTATCTGCTGGGGCCTGTAAACTAATTATAGTACAAGTGTTTGTTTCCAAAAAACAAGACAGGACATGGTGTTGGTCAACACCTGCCTTTCAGGAACCATGTTTTCCATTACAGTCTTTGTCTCAACACTGTAACATGTAACATTGAACATGACTAAAGTATTCACTGCATGTGGTCTCCATCGGAAGGGGGGGGGGGGGGGCGGGTTAAGCCGCTGCCTTCTTAACAAGCATTGTCACAAGGCAACTAATTAGGGAAGTTTCCTTTGAAGTGGGAGTGCATCTTCCTGAATGGCAAGGAACCAACAGTCTCTATACAAATAAGTCAGATCTGTAAAATGTATGTGCACGCAAAACTCAAGGTCAAAATCCAGAATTGGACGAACAACCAGAAATTGTTCACCGCAGTTTACAACCAGGGACACTAAGAAGAAGAAGACGATCAAAGTATTTAAGTATTTCCTCTCTTCAACATTAAACACTAAGGTAAGCAGACAGAGAATCACAGAACAGACACTGAAATGGGAAACAATTGAATTAAGGAAATGGGGACATCCCAGACAGGGAATCACAAAACGGACTGCAATAGGAAACAAATGAATTGAGGAAATGAGGATGTACAAGGGGGTTTCAAATGAAAATCTTAAAAATGTGACAGAAATCACAAAACCATGCCATTATGTTTTAACCTGTTAATATTGTCGTAAAGGATAACAAGAGTGTTAAGCATATGCCATCACAGCACAGACAAACATAGTAATGTCATAATGCCAGTTTAAAGATGTCGCCCCACTTTTCATGTGCGCCAAAGAAAAGCAGAATTCTGTAATCAATTTTTTTATCAGTAAAGGGGTGAAACTTATAGAAATAAAAATTCATCGACGAATTGAGGTCAATTACGGTGATGCATGTATGTCAGTTAAGCAAGTGTATGAGTGGAGGAGAAAGTTTCAAAACAGCGTGACTTCTGGGAGCGACTGTTCATGACTGCGACAACAAGCACACATAATAGTGACCCTAGAGTTGATTGCAGCCATTTTATTCAATAATAGAATTGTTAATATTCTTCTTTCTCAGTGCTGTCGACAAACTTGCCATGGTTCAATTGCATTTGACACGCTGTGAGGTTGATGAAGCAATCACAGAACTGAAATCGATTAAGAAATCCTCACTGGTCAACCTGTGCTCATCACACCCAGAAATCATACATGACAACCTGGCAAGTTTCAAGCCACTAGCACAACTAATGAGGCAGCATACGTCAAGCATTCTCCTGGAGGTGCTTGTAGAAATGCTGGATAGCTGCAGTATCTCCCTGGGTTCTCTTTTAACTTTACTTCAGGTGAGTTCTTCTTAAGTACAAACATTTAAGCATCTAGGCACATGGATAACATCGGAAAATGTATCACAGAGATTTTAAAAAACCAAAATAGAATAATAGGCTAAAACTGCATTTTATAAAATAAAAAACAGTTTATGCAGTAAATCCATGTCATTTGAGGGCAGGAAAAGAATTCTCACATGCTAAATCGAGTAAGTTTTAACATATGGCTGTGAATCCAGGACAATTAATAAAAAAGCCAAACAATTTCTTGAGGCCTCAGAGATGTGGTTTTACAGAAGAATCCTTAGAATTCATTGTACAGTTAAAAACGCGTAACCCAGATGTTCTGAAAGAGATGAGGTATTAAAGACAATTTATCGTAAACATCAGAAAGAGACAGTCAAATTTTTTTGGGTCATTTTATGAGCAGAGGGAAACTGGAACGTGGTGACCACTGGAAAGATTTGTGGGAAAAAGACACAGAGAAAGACAATGTGAGACTGTTTTTTACAGCCTTTTTTATTGTGGCTTTGAGTGGTGTCAACACACGAACTGATGCATGTTGTTGAAGATCGCAGATTGTGAAGAAGCATGATTGCCCATGCCCATGCCATGATGATGGTGATGTTTGCAGTGATGTTATAATTTGATGTTGTGATGAATATCATGTTAGCATCTTATATCTCCCAGATAATTTCCTGGTGCTTATTTTAGTATTTCAGCTTGGAAGATTAGGTCAGTTTTACAAACCCATCTCAGTGGGTTGATGGTTCATCCACAGGGCTGACAGACCATTTTATCCAAGTCAGTTTACTGTATAAACATTTTTATTTTTTAAACTTTTCCTAAGTCATTTTTCTGTATTCAGCATTTTTTAAAACCTTCTAAAGTAAATTTATAGAATGAAGACATCACTTTTTTAAAATTACTTTCTCACATCAATTTACTGTATAATGTCAGAATTATTTAACTTTTCAGATTCAATTCAAAGTATAAAAACAGCAATTTTAACTTTCCCAAGTCAACTAACTGTATAAAGACAGCATTTGTTTAACTATCCTAAATCAGTTTATGGTGTACAGTCAGCAGTTTTAACACTTCTAAATCAGAAGTGTAAAGACAGCGATTTAAAACTGTCCCAAGTTAATTTATTGCATAATGTCAGCGCAATTTAAATGTCCGAAGTCGAATGAAAGTATAAAGAAATCATTCGTTCTAAATATTAGAAGTCAGTTATTTCAAAATATTCCCCACAGAGCCAGTCGGACCTGTCCTCAAACAATCACATCAGAGAATCTTTGGAACTCATTCTAAGTGGTAAGAGATTTTTGTTTTAAATTTAAAAATAATTCTTTTAAAAAAAATCTAATTTAACATCATCATGATAATAATGCATACCAATAAGCTATAATGTTTTATCGTCTCGTACAATCATTGAATCGTGGATCTTTTCTTCTTCTTTATGTTTACCGGCTGTAAAAATTGGAGAAAAGTTCTAGTCTTTCATTTATTTCTAGGCTTTGATCTTATTCTTCTTCTTCTTCTTCTTCTTTGCGTTCGGTTTCCTATGCTCAGATCAGACCATCAGGTGGGTTGCCTCTATGGACTCGCATGTCAGCTGCAGGTCCTGCATGGTTCTCCATAGCTTGCTCTGCACACTTTGCTCTTGAAGCCAGGAGTGAGCAGGTCAGCAAAATGTGCTCAGGTGTTTGGGGTCCTGTTTGACAGGCACAATACGGGGACTGTACAATCTTTATTTTATGCATGTGGTAGTTGAGCCTGCAGTGTCCTGTTCGTAGACCGAAAATTGTTGTATGTTGCTTTCTGTTGAGTCTGCTGATGGGGTCTTGTGAAAGTTTACTGTTAGTTTGTTCTCTCCACAATCCCTTGTATTTTCCTTTGATAAGTGTTCTGATTTCTGGTAATGACAATGAATGGGCGTGTTGTTTCTCCTTTGTTCAATTTTTTGCAAGTCTGTCTTTTAACATTTCCTGGTATGCAGCAGTGAGCCGGGATCCACTGGAGAACAATTTGATTGTTTTCTGTGAGTCTGTTTAGCTGACGGGTCAGTTCTCTTTCCATGTTGTCTCGTGGATCCCTGTGAGTCGCCTGGAGGACTGACATGCAGTCACAAAGGAAAACAATTTTGCTGTTTTTAATTTTTCTTTCCTCAAGCACTTTGGCTGAATCAATAATTGCTTGCTGCTCTGCTCTGAAGTTTGTTGAGAGTCTTCCGGAGGCGCATGACGTTTCTACTGTGGTCCCGTCTTGCAGATTGATGACCGATCCAGCTCCTCCATTTTTGTCTGCTCCCTCCAATGGTCCATCGGTGTAAATGTGTGTCCATTTGGGTTTTGGATAACAGTTGTAGACATGTTCAAGGGTCTTTGCACGCAGTACTAGGTCACACTCTTCAGCCTTTCTGTCTATGCCTGGAATTGTTGTTGTGACTGTATATTTAGGCTGTAGGTCTATGCTGTAGGCCTGGATCATTTCCCATGTTGAAGGATCTTTAGAAAGGATGTCACTGTTTTTTGTGTAGTTTTATTTTGATAGATGGTGAAAGCTTTGTCTTTTCAGTCGGCTTTTTGTTAAGTTATTTGCTATTCTATGCATGGGGTTGTTGTTCATGCGTTTAAATTTTTCTGTTAGGGTAAGCACCTTTTCTTCCCTTCGAAGGCTTAAGCTCTCAAAGCCACAGGTTGCCTCCAGTTCATTAATTGGTGTGCTTCTCATACCTCCAGTGATGATTCTGAGACCAGTGTTCTGTATTTTATCCAGTTTGTGTAGGTTTGTTTTGGCTGTATTGGAGTATTTTCCCATGCCATACTCCAGTTTTGGTCGTACGTATCCAGTGTATACTTGTCGTACAGTGTTGGCATCTGCACCTCAGCTTGTTCCAGTAAGTTTCTTCATAAGTCTGAGCCTTAGGGTAGCTTTCCTTTGGGTGTCTTAAAGGTGGAGGAAAGTTCTAGTCTTTCATTTATTTCTAGGCTTTAGTCTTGTTCCAGAACTTGTGTTTTGCATGATCGTCCATTTTACAGCTTTTTACAATTTTACAAATCTTTATTAAAATTTTTGTGTGCAGACTGTTGGTTTCTTGCCTGTCAGGCAGATGCACTCCGATTTCAAAGGAAACACTCATGATTAGTTAACTTTTACGACATGCTTGTTAGTGGGGCGGTGGGTCTATTCTTTTCTTCCTGCAATGGGGTCTTGGAACTCACACTTGGGGTGAATCGTGAATCAGGCCAGGCCATCCAGGTATTTACCTCTGTACTTTCCTCTTTCTCTCTTTCCATCAACTTTGTCAGCCGTCACCATGATCTTCAGTCCATTCCTTTACCTGACATGTCCGAAAAGCACAGACATCTATGTGTAATGTTTCTAATTACCTTACGACTTTCATAAGTTTTAAGGGGCACTGTTTTTTGTTGTTGTTGATTTTCTGTAATTCCTTGATGTTCTCTGCATTCTTCTCAAAAACCATCTCTGCTATGAGTAAATATGTTTTCAGCTTGTCAGTGCCTTATCTTAGGCTTTTCAAACATGCTTCATAATTCCACAGTGCCGGGTTCGATCCCAGCTATGGGTGTTTTGGCATTAGGCTGCCATGAGTTGATTTTGGCAGTGGTATTAAAAGCTGACCAATCAGAAATCAGTGCCAAACTATTGAACATAAAAATTAACTAGTGAAATCATGAACAGCCAAAGAATGCTGGGGTTGGTTCTGCAATATCCTGTAAAGGATACGCAACTAACTTTTTATGGTTTTACTGAGCAATTTTGCATTCTGTAGTTTGCCATTACTTTCTGAATGTAATAGTATTCATATTGCTGTCAAAATCAACACAAAGCAGTCTACTGTGAAATTTGCTGCAGGTGGCATGAGTGAGTTTTGAACATAATATTTAGAATGAGTTTCAATTATTAACATTTAGAGAGCTTATAATGGAAGGAGGGCTGGTATGCCTATACTGCCAGACTGACAGTCATACTTGAATCCTTGTTGAAACTGGCTTTTTATCAATGACAAAGGTTCCCAGGTTGACCAAGGCTAAAGTTGTAATTATTATTGAAGTAATAAAACTGATATCTGAGTTGAGTTGAGTTGGGTCAAGAATTGATTTCACAGAACTCGGGGCATTCCCTTGCGTGCTCGGTCCTCATCTTCAGCAGCCAGCGCAGAGTTCCAATACTGATGGTACCGGTCATAATCTGGTTATATGTCCGTCTTGCCTTTCCTCTAAGTGTAGTGAGCTAGCCAGACCCTCTGGTTACACCCAGGTGCCTCATTCTCACCAGGCAATAATAATCTTGTTTCTGATTCCATTGCTTGTTCCCAAAGGGCCTTGACCACATCTGCCTTGTCATGTATCAATTCACCACCCAGTAGTGCAGATCCAGACAATCTGTCTGCCTCTTAATTCCCCACTACGCCAGAATGGCCTGGAGAAAAGATCCAAAGTATGCTCACTACCCGTAACCTTCCCAGTAAGGCTTGCCACTCTGCTCGAAGCATCCCCTGTCTTCACCTTTCTCAGCATGCTTTTAGAGTCTGTTACAATTACGACGATGTGTATGCATCTTGTTCTCTAACTGTTCTAAAACTTATATTTGTGTTTTGTTATTAATGTATTAACAGTATTCTTTTGTGTTATAATATCATTTTGGTCATAGTGGTATCACCTGTTTATTTTTCAGATGAGAAAAGAGCTCTATTGTTTGATGAAGCTGCAGTGAGTATATACTTTGAAAGTTAGAAGATCTTGCACAGATCTTTGAACTCATTACTTATATTTCGCTATATAGACTAACAGCCACCAGAGGCTGTGCATTTCTAAATAAATATTTTTGTCAAATATATTGTAGTAATTTCTGCATCTTCTTATTGTTCATGCTGTGTGGCGTTGGAAGTCATGTCCATACACAGCCTTCTGTTGTGTACTTTCAGTCATTTCTGACACAGTTGACCTTCCATACTATGATGTCAATGTGTCCAGTATCTTCTCTCTCGGTCTCCTTTGGCCTCTTTTCCCCATTAACTGTCACTATGTACTTGCTTTCTCCTCCTTATGATAGAACCGAAGAATCTAGATTGTCTCCTTCTGATAAGGTAATAAAGGTGATTGGACCAGTTTAGATTATGCACTTACTTCTTCTTTTCTCTACTCATGGAACACAGGAAGAGATTTCTGGAGCGAGCATAATAAATAATAAAAATTGGCTTATTTAACAGCTATAATTAAAGACACAACTCCTTGAACCAATTTAATGTAACTGATTTATGTTTGATTTTTTTAAAGCTATCTGTTATTCGTTCTAATTTTAGAATGTGCAGTTTGTTTCACCTGGTATTCTGTTACTGAATTTAGGGTTAGGGTTCTGGCAAATGCTCGCGGCTGAGAGGAAAGGCAATGTTTAATCAGAATGCTACTGGCACCATTAGTATTGGAACTCTACACTGGCTGCTGAAGATGGGGAGGAAATGCTTATGGGAATGCCCCGAGTGATGTGATGTCGGTTCTTGAATCAACTCAACTAATTCTGTTACTGAATGCGTCTCCTTTACCTGATCTCATAATTTCATAATTTCAGCAAATGCTTTGTGAGATCTACATAGCAAAACTGAAAGAAAATTCACAGCTGTCGGCAAAACAAATATCTGCTCTTGCACATCAGAAGTTTTCATTGGTGAGTTTTTTTTTTTTGGGTGTCACTTGTCACCTGGAGTATGAAAGATGAAATAAAGAATATTGTTTCTACATTACAGTGATATGATATCAGTCGATGTCTTACACATTCTCATGCGTGCTCAGTCCTGCGATGCAGCAGCCACTCCATGGTACTTCTACTGCTTGTTTCTATGAGATTATAATCTTTCCTATCTCAGCCTTGAAGGCGGCATAGACATGCTTTATCCCATGTCATGCAATCATGTTAGCCTCAGAGATTTGGCATGATGCAATAACCTAGTCCATACTGTATTGATGAAAAATCTGCTCTTCTGTGCTTTTCTTCGCATGTGTTGGAGCATTGCTTGCATAGCATGACCAGGGGAGGGATTTCTGAATGCTTTCTACCCCTTCAGAGAGTATACTGCCTGTTGCAATTTCCTGAAGCATTTCCCCGAAGTTTGTAATAATTACTGCATGTGTGACTATGTTCTACTGCCCATGTGAGTGCTCTGGAAGTAGGGTTATCTCCATGGTCATGCTACAATGGTATGGTAACCTTGGTGGCATAGCAGCCAGATGCTTGCCTGTGAGTCTAGAGTTCACATCTGCATAGAGCCAAGGTCAGCCCAGCCCAGAATAGGTGTGAGCTGAAGTCCTGGGAAGTAAAAGTGGCTGACATGATGTTGACCACATTATCCATCCAGTGCCAGTTGGTCTACAGAAGCATGAGTCTAGCATCATCTGCCCAATGTGCAACTGTCATGAAAAGGGAACTTAAAATGTTGTATTTAATTGCTGTAACATGATGAGGATCATGTGCTAGTCTTAAAGCTGTAGATTATATGTTTGTCTTCCAATCTCATGCCTGAAATCTGACACCAGATAAATTAATCACGCTCAAGAGATGAGAGACTACAACAATTAGCGTCACATATTGTCTACATGCTGACCTCAAAACTTGTAGCTCAAAATTCTGATTTAGGCCTATATCTACCTAACACATTTAATGCCTGCCATATGTCTTTGACAAGGACTGCTCTCTGAGGGATGGCAGATGGAAAAACGAGAAGGACAGTAGAAAGGGAAATGAAAGAATGTAAATTAACAAGGTATACCATCGGCAGAAATGCAGCAGACCAGAGGCAATGAGGATAACCTGTAAATGCCTTATGTGTCAACAACGACATTAAGAGGATTTTGATTTTAGATTTAAGTCAACCACTAGTTTTACAAAGATTTTGTTAGGTTTGAAAACTATAATTGAACATCCCAATTCATGTTAAATATGAAAATTCATAGGAAGACAATAAGAACATAATAAGCAATTGATAATTATGCAATCTCATTTCATGAAACTCCACTTCAAGTGCTGAAATGGTATACCTGTTCTGTAGATAAAGATGAGAAAATGGACAGAAACATTAAAAAAGGAACACATACAAGAAGCACCAGGAGCTTTCATACCTTCTTTGTATAGCTCATACTGTGTGGCATTGGTATTTATATCTGTCCACAACCTTCTGTCTCGTGTATATTCAGTCACTTCTGACACAGATGATCTTCCATGCCCTGATGTCCCACTGTCCAGCAACCTCTCTGTCAATCTCTCACCTTCGTACTTAGTCACTCCTCTTCTACCTTAGGGTGTAGAGGTTTGCTAGAGTGATCGCCAGATGTCTCTGCAGTTTTCTTTCTGGCTTTGTTACATTCCAGTCCTCTGTCAGGGACTGTCGGGTGTTGTCTTCCTAGCGGCCCCTGGAGGTCTGGTTCCCTGGTTCTTAGCCTCCCATGCCTGTCATGATGGGCAATTTTCTCCCATTCTGCATACATGTCCAAACCATTGTAGCTGTGACTGATCCACTTGGGTTTGTAAGGACTGGGTATCAAGATCTTGACGTATTGTCTGATTGCAGACTTTGTCCCTTTTTGTCACTTGGACCACCTTCCTCAGATATCTCATTTCTGAGGCCTGAAGCTGGCTTCTGTGAGCTGTTGTCAATGTCCATGACTCACATCCATAGGTCAGGACTGGTACATAAGTAGAGCGGTAAACACCCTTTTTCGTCCTCTTGCCAGTTTCACTTTTGCTTAGAAACCCTCTGATTATGCCCTGGAAGAGTCTCCAAGCAGCTGATTTTTCTGTAGCCAGCTCAGTCTTAATGCCTCCATTTCGGTCTAATGCAACTCCAAGGTATTTGAACTGGTTGACCTGCTCCAATGCATATAGTCTCATCACTGTCAGTCTCTGCATCGTTTCCCCTCCAACTTTCCCACCATCAAGATGTACTCTAGTTTTCTCCATCTCATGACATGGCCAAAGAAAGTAGCTTTCATACCAATAGGAAGAAATTAAATGTGTGCAGATTTAAATCTGTTGTGGAGGACAGAACACTTAAGAGCATGTCCTGAGTAGCCTGAAGTTAATTGAACTGATTAGTCTGAGACTTCTGGTCCAGTGGGGTTGGACTGCTGGCCACTAACACTCTGAAAGGGTATTTTGTTTCTAGCCGAGATTTACTGGTACAAATTCCCCATTTCTTGACCGGGAGGCCAATGGTTCCATCACCCAGCTTCTGAATTGAGTGCTTGATGTGATACTTTGATCTGTGGATTTCGTGTTTTTTTTTTCTGTATTGTGCCATCAATGGCTTTTTGTTGTGAACTGCACTAAAATTGGTGGGTGGCCAATTAGGTTCAGATCAGCATGTGCTTATGCAGTATTAGTGTATTATGCCTGCTTTCATAATTGACTGCTTGCATCAACAGTGAGCTGCAATTCTATTGTAGAACTGTTAGTGTTGGCACATCTGATGGCTGCCTTATGCATTTTCTTTGTAAATGCAAGCTTCAAGATTTTGCTGCGGCTGACATGTTTTTCACTAGTTTTCAGATGGGACTAAAAGGAACATTTGTGTGATTTCCATTGCCATAGTGGGAATGGAGCAGTTATGGATCAGCCCATCTGCAGTGAAGTTGGAACCTCGACAAACGACTAACTAATCAGTCTCATTTGTCATATAATTTTTTCTGACATGGTAACCTAGTATATTTGTGCAGTTTTTTTTTTTAAAAACTGTTTGATACTTACATGTATACTAATTTATTCATTTCTGGATCAAAATCTGTCTTATACCAGTTAGCAGTGATACTTGACACTTCCACCAACATCTTGATAACACAAGCTAAAGACGTTCTTTTTTTTCTTTCTCTTAGCCCCTAGGAAATGGCCATTTTGCACCACGATTTGCCTGGTTGGATTATCTTCCCCCCTTTCAAGGACCTAACAAAATGGCTAGGCCATGTCAAAGGTTAGAGGTCAAACATATTCCTGGACCTGGGTCAAGGAATGTATCCTTGCCTGTCACCATGGTAACCAAGCATGCCCATAAGGAAAGATGCCAGTGTTTTGTGTGCAATGAAAGTCTTTTAAAACTTCAGGTAATTTTCATGTGTACACATTTAAAAAAAATTATTGGCTATGAATTCTCTGGTCAGTGATCCAATATAGAGCAAAGACTACTAATACTTCTATTCTACAGTCTGGTCCTTTCCCCCATTGAATACGCTCTGGCCATCCTCACTGTCAGTGCTACCCAGATTGAACGACTCGAAAAGGTGCAAAATGAAGCCATGCGCATTATTTTGGGATGTACAAGAGACACATCCTGTGGAGCAATGAGGTATCTACTTGACTTTCCAACAATGAACCAAAGGATCAGGATGTGGAAGGCTCGGGCATATCTCAAAATATGTGCTGATAAGAAACACCCACTGCATCAAGCGCTTTTTAGTGAAAAGGGCGACAGACTGAAGAGGGGGAAATTGTGATTAGGTCGGGCAGAAGATGTTATTAGGCAAATATGCAGCCTAACCGACATCATACCTGTTGCAGAATGGATACCTGTGCCTCAGGCGTTTATTTGTACATTTTCCTGTATTGTCACACTCAACAGGCGATGTAGAGAAGAGAATCCTGTTGCTGTTAATGCAGAGGTCAACGCTCTCATCTGTGAAAATTCAGACGAAGCAGATGCAATAATCTATACAGATGGATCCGTTATACGCCAAAGAAGAAGCGCATGGGCATTTACAGCACGCCCAGCGGGCAGAACAGTCAAAGAAACTAACGGCGCCTTCTCCATGACAACCAGCAGCATGACGATGGAGGTGATGGCAGTGACGCAAGCGCTTGCCTGGCTTGAAACACAAAAATATACCCGCGTGTGTATACTCAGTGATTCAATGAGTATGATCCGGAGGGTTCAGGCAGGTTCAGTGCGAAGATAATGGCTTGAATCATTACAGAAGTCCACTGTGCGTGGAGTCACCTTTATTTTTGTTCCGGGATACGCAGGCGTCGATGGAAATGAAAGAGCTGACAGGTTGGCTGGATCCGCTATCACTACCGACGGTCAGCCTATGGATCATGCTGATATTATCAATGCCCTCAGAGAAATGGGAAGGATAGAGGACTTTGGTGGCAGTGAATCAACATCACTCGCCAGAATGGCAGACTTGGGAATTAAGATCGGTACAGCAAAAAACGAGACGCACACCAGACACTTGTTAATCAACATAGAACTGGTACTATTAGCCATCGGACGTTGGGGTTCATACTGAGGGGAGGATCTGAGCACCTATGGACATGTCCGGAGTGCAATGAGGATAACCCAACTAACTAACTAACTAATCTCTGGAGGACTGAGTTTAACACTTTCAACTGGGAAAGGTGGGGGTGGTGGCAAAAAGGGGGGTGAGGAGAGAATAGCCGTAAAAATACAATAATTTTACAGAGGTCACAAATAACTGCTAAAAATGTATTCATATACAAGGGGAAGTCAATAAGTAAGTCACAAATGGTTGTCTTAAACAAAAACAAAAAAACTAAAGATGATAACTTGAAAACCATTTATATTTACACATACAGCATCCCTTTATTTTTCAACAAAATCTTCACGAACATTGATATACCTATTCCATCATTTTATCAGTCCTCCCAAACCTGCTACACAGAACTGTCTCCCACAGAACAGTCTCCCACCAAGGTGGGTTTTCAGTGGACCAAAAAAGGTGAAAATCGCTAGGGGCTGTCAGGTGGATGTTTCAGAAGTTCCCACCCTAGATGGTTAATTTTTTCCTGAGTTAACCTAGCCGTATGTGATCTGGCATTGTCGTGAAGATGCAGTACTCCTTTAGTCAGCAGGCCTGGACGTTTTCTCCTAAATGCATCATGAAGCAGCGATAAAACTTTACAGTATGATCAGCATTCACATTTTCATCTCTTTTTCTGATATTGGTTAAAAGCACCCCTTGGCAATCCCAGAGCACTGTCAGCATAACCTTTCCTGCTAATGGCAAAACCTTGAATTTTTTAACACAAGGCGAAAAAGGATGTTTTCACTGGATTGTAGCACACTTTGATTCAGGCTGATAGTGATGCTTTACGGGATAAACATTTGTCAGCATAAACAGGAAGCATTTTCTTATGAATGTCCTTTGCAGGCAACCATTTTGCCCCCCTCCCCCCTCCAAACCGCACAATAGCACATTGTTCTTTGAGGGTACACTTTGTAAGTACAGTCACCATTTTGTTTCTGGGTTGCGTATGCAACACCTAACGCCACCTAATAAGCAGAGATATAAAGTTCAATGTTGCTGTCACGTAATGACACCTCTAGAAACCACTATCTACATTTTCCTGCCATCCCATAACCATTTGTGACTTACTTATTGACTTCCCTTGTGTATATTTAAATACAATTAAGTAATGAGACTTCAGATATCTGCCGGTGTGTTGGGAAAGGAGCATGCAGACAGACTGGCCGGTTCTGCACCACTTGGTGGTGAATTGATGCATGACAAGCTAGATGTTGTGAGGGCTCTTTGGGAGTGAGTGAACAGTGAGGAGGCACTAACAGAGCTGTAGGTTATAATTGTGACTTGATTATGTGTGCCATATAAAATGGCTTAGCACTGCACGCCACCAAGAGCCCTGAAAAGGACTGCTGCATTGTTGATGCGATCAAAGGAGACAGACCCAGGCTGCATTTGTTAAAAGTAACTGAAAAAAAAATGTGATTTCATTTAGTCTTCTGTTTTTACCCTTTCATCCTATAAACACCTTTTAAAAAAAGAACATTTTTTTCAGATTTCGTTAAAATACATGCATCCTTATAATTCACTGAAACTACAGAGAAGAAGAAACAAAATCACTTTTGCATTTGAAAGGGACAATAAACCCCTCTGGGACCACACAATGAGCGATTAACACCTGGTGACACAAAGTGCCACCATTCAGATGAGGATTCCCCCAGGTGCAAGTCCCAGAAACCCCATTCAACCATTATGTAGTATTAGGGTCCGAGACAACAGCCAGGGTGGGTGCTTTAAAATTGGGACGCACTTTGGCACTAGGGGTAAACGCATTTCGAGTCTTGGTCAAAACTGCCAATTACTGCCTTTATTATACCACTTTTGCAGTGTAGGCGGGGGGGGGGGGGGGGGGGGGGGGGGGGGGGGGTGTTGAGCCTGAGGATTTACGACCGCAGGGCTAGTGCTGTCACCACACTGTGCAGGTGAGAGTTTAGGTCTTGGTCAGTTTTTATAATGTCCAAGGGGTCTTACCCGTAGACCACCCAGAAGACAGACATAAAGTCATCTGCTACTTTTATGACAGCAATAAACAATAATCTCCAGTCACTAAATGTTTGAACTAGTTTACATCTACATCGAGGAAAGTAATCACTGTATACAAATGCGGCAGAGAATTAACTGACATCTTTTCCATGACCATTTAAAAATGGTTTTGCCACAGATAGCAGTGTGGCGTAATAATGAAATTATTTGTGGTCTTCATGGTGAACACAGTTTTAAAAATCTGCTGTTTGTTTGCATCAAATAATATGTAAAAAGTATTTGGGGAGAGGGGGGGGGGTGGGGGTGGGCGCGGGGGTAAATATAGTCAAAACTCAGTTTATACATACGCAATTGCAGCCAGTTTTAAACCTGTTATACTGTCATGCTTTGAGCTCTGTCAAAAGATGTGCCAACTGAAACCTGTCAAAGCCGGGAAAGCGGCTTTCTCCGGATGAGAGGATTAAACCTTCCAGACTTTATTTTAAGACATTTCTTCATGTTTATTTGATCCTTCAGTCGTTGCTGTGCTCACCACACCTCACCTCTAAACTCGCATCCTTTGTGATGCACCACATCGAAGAGTTCCAAACCAACAACCTGGATGAGGTCAAGGATGCTGATATGGAATGCTGGGATAGTGTGCGGTATTTGTGTTTGACAAAACTAAACTTGGAGAAAGCCACAGAAGAGATTGTAGACAGGTACCCCAGTATTATTGGGATGTTTTCTGCCAGCTGCTTCAGTGGGCATGTGGACAAGGTTCGTATTTATCCTTTACTTCTTTTCTCTGCAGCTTTTTGGCTAAGAGATTAGTGAATGCTTTGAACAATTTCATGATCCTGGAGTACTATGGTCCAACTCCCAGGTTGTTCTTTCTTTCTTTTTTTTTTTTTTTTTTAGCTAGTAGCATTTGTCTGTTGCAGTATAGTTGTAAAAAATATAGGTAATAGGGAATATGAAGTTATAGGGCAGCTTTACAAATACAGTAACAAAAGATATTGCAGCAACAAGCCTTCAACAGCAAACAACAGAACAAAAAGAAGAAAATGACAATGAAGTAACGGCATTCAAAGTATTATGCATTTACATAGAACAAGGTAGTGGCAGCAGACCACTTTGCATTAATTTTTAAAATGTATCGCAATCTTCGGTGGCAAACTACTGAACATAAAATTGCCAAGTAAAATTACATACTGCCAAACAGTGCTGGGGTTGGTTCTTAAAGGACATGTAAACTGTATCTGTGTGTATGTATATTATATATATATATATAATATATATATATATTATGATATATATATATATATATATATATATATATATATATATATATATTATATATATATAATATATATATATATATTTACATTTACATATACATATATACATATATATATATATATATATATATATATATATATATATATATATATATATATATATATATATATATATATATAAATATATGTGTGTGTGTGTGTGTGTCTATATGTGTATTTGCATTTGTAAAATGAAATTAAGTAGCAGGATTAAATATTTTTTGATACTTAACCCAATAGGTCAGAATCTTACATATTTACAGAGTATTTAAATTGTAGAGTGAAAGTTATTTCTATTATACGCTGGAATGATTTTTTTTTTCTATTATACAAGTATATGGATGGATGTTTACATTTTGAAATTATCCCCCCCCCCCCCCCCAAGTATGTATTGATAGGGCATTTAAATTATCTTCTTCTTCAGCATTCTGGGCCCTTGAGGCTCGTTGCTGCAGATATTACCCGCCTCCAGTCATTTCTGTGACTGGCTTTCTTATTCCAGTTGCTGATTCGGAATATTTGTAGATCTGCTGGATATTATCTCTTCACCGTCTTCTTTGTCTACCTTGTGGTCTACAGCCATTCAACTTCCTTTTGAACACACAGAGTTGTTTTTGTCTCTGTAATCTGTCATTCTCTCTATTTGCGCCAGCCATTGCAGTTTATTGGCCCTCATGATGCGAATAATCAATAATGACTTAAACAGATTATGTATTTAATGTTGAATTTAGAATCAACATCACAGCACTCGGGACATTCCCATAAGCACTCCATTACTGTCTTCAGCAGCAAGCGCAGAGTTAAAGTTCCAGTGATATCACAGTCTGATTGTATATCCGTCTCGCCAGGCCACTCCATTTTTCTTAGACCATGATAATCTGTTTGTGTCTCTGCACTGTCCACTCATTGCTAAAGGATCATTTCAACATCTAGCTTGTCATGCTTCAGTTTACCACCAAGAACTGCAGATCCAGCCAGACTGTCTGATTGTACATTCCCCAGAACACCGACATCACCTGGAGAAAATACCTAGAGGTTTAGCTTTAAGATTTAAACAATGGATCGGCATCATCACACAAGGGTAGTAACCCATAAGTGCTCCGTTCTACTTCTAATTCAAGCCTTAGTCCGAAGAATCTCAGTGCAGTGCACGAACTCTGTAGCACCGGTGAGGATCCTGAAAATACTTTGGGTAGATTTTAAACTCCAAATTTTGCCCAGGCAGCGTCGTTATACTATTCTCAATATCCAACTGCCATAGGATTTTTTACATGTGCAACAATACACACAGGCGTCCAATTTTACTACCCAGAGACATGGAAAATTACTAGAAGCCAGCGCGAAAAATATTCCATCCTTCACCAGGGCTTGAACCCGGTACCCCCAGCACTCAAGACGGATGCCATGCCCCGAGACCACTCAGCCCCCACCCCCTTGAATACCTAAAAGATGCTAACTACCCAGGACCTCTGAAGCAATGCTTGCCACTCTGAACACAGCATATTTGTCTCAACCTTTCTCTACATGCTCTGCGAGTCACTTACAGTGTACATATCTGTACAACTGGTTTTCAGGCCAACGGAAGGCTGCAATATTATGTATATACTGTCAAATTTTTGACATCTGTGACTCATGGGTTGCGAACATGATTTGAAATTTCAAAATATCCAGTTCGATTCAGCTGCAGGCAGTTTGACAGCAGTCCACTTTGTGTTGATTTTAGCAGTGGTATGGAGCAAAGCTGTCTTAACATTATTGTGAGCAGCTGGACAAACCCCTGTGCGTAGGCCCTCTAGGACAACCACTCACAGAAATGAAATAAAAATGGTTGATAATATTAAACACATACACAGATTAGCGTCGGCTCTGTGGCTAAGTCATTGCGAACATTTCGCTTCGTAATGCCGGGATGCTGGGTTCGATCCCAGCTGCGGGCAATGCGCCTTGCGTTGGTTTCGACAGTGGTATCAAGAAAGCCGACCGTCCAGAAAGCAATGGCAAACTACTGGACATAAATTTGCCTAGAAAAACCACACAACAGCCAGGGGCTGTTGGGGTTGGTTCTGCAACGTCCTGTAAAGGATACGCAACTAACACAGATTAGCACGGGGCCCATATGTTCGTAGGGGCTGCGCGGTAAGTGCCCAGCCAGGCAGTGCATTAGTTCGGCCTTCATATGGGCCATTCAGAAAGCAGTGGCAAACTACCGAACATAAAGTTGACGTATGTTAATTTTTTTTTTAATGTAAACATAAAGTTGCAGAGTAAAACCACAAATAACTAAACCTTGGTTTGCAGTGTCCTGTCAAACGTACATAAGATGCTTGTCTTGTACAATGACATGTATTTAAATTTTGGGCTGATCTTTTTCTCACTTCAGTATTCGCACTTACTACGCACCATGGAAGCAGCCATGAAACTGTGCAAGGTGGCACCCAATGCTCAAGGGGAGGAAACTTATGTCAGGGCATACAAAGGTAAAGTAGGTCAATATATTCACACAGTTCAATTTGCAATGTGATGATCAATTAAGCACATTTTTTTTTTTTTCTGGGCAATTTTTTTGCTGAAGGTGGAGAGAGAGAGAGAGAGAGAGAGAGAGAGAGAGAGAGAGAGGGAGGGAGGGAGGGAAGGGAGGGGGGAGGGGGGGGGAGGGAGGGAGGGGGGGAGGGAGGGGGGAGGGAGGGGAGGGGGGAGGGATGGAGATAGAGAGAGAGAGAGAGAGGAGAGGGAGAGGAGAGAGAGAGGAGAGAGAGATAGAGAGAGAGAGAGAGAGAGGAGAGAGAGAGATGAGAGAGCGAGAGCAGAGAGAGGAGAGAGAGAGAGTGTGGAGTAGAGAGAGCGAGAAGAGAGGGAATAGAGAGGAGTGTGAGAGAGTGTGTGAGGGTGAGAGAGAGTGAGAGAGTGTGTGAGTGAGAGAGAGTGAGAGAGTGTGTGAGTGAGAGAGAGTGAAAATCCCATGTAAGGTACATGGTTTAACAACTTCAAGTTGACTGATGATTTCTTGAAAATATATTCACATTCATTTCTTATATATATATATATATATATATATATATATATATATATATATATATATATATATATATATATATATATATATATATATATATATATACACACACACACACACACACATTATAAACATATGTGTGTGTATATATATATATATATAAAGTTTCTTGTGTGTGTGTGTGTAAATATATATATATATATTTATATATATATATATATATATATATATATATATATATATCTATATATATATATATATATATATATATATATATATATATATATATACACAGTCAGCCAGAATCCTGAATATATATGTATATATTTAGGTTCATTGCTGATATATTTATATAAATGTTGCCAGCCACAATCCTGAATATATATGCATAAATTTATACATAAAATTGGTTGCCAGTGATGTTTTACCGCTTATTTGTGTATAAAAATGATTGTTGGTTGCTAGTGATTTACCCCTTATTTGTGTACAAAATTGGTTTGTCAGTTGCTAGTGATTTACTCCTTATTTTTTTTATAAATTTGGTTGTCGGTTGTTAGTGATTTACTCCTTATTTTTTTTATAAATTTGGTTGTCGGTTGTTAATGATTTACTCCTTATTTTTGTATAAAATTGGTTGTTGGTTGCTAGTGATTTACTCATTTTTGTATAAAATTGGTTGTCGGTTGCTAGTGATTTACTTCTTATTTTTTTTATAAATTTGGTTGTCGGTTGTTAATGATTTACTCCTTATTTTTGTATAAAATTGGTTGTCGGTTGCTAGTGATTTACTCCTTATTTTTGTATAAAATTGGTTGTCGGTTGCTAGTGATTTACTCATTTCTGTATAAAATTGGTTGTCGGTTGCTAGTGATTTACTCATTTTTGTATAAAATTGGTTGTCGGTTGCTAGTGATTTACTCATTTTTGTATAAAATTGGTTGTCGGTTGCTAGTGATTTACTCATTATTTTTTAATAAAATTGTTTGTCGGTTGCTAGTGATTTACTCATTATTTTTTAATAAAATTGGTTGTCGGTTGCTAGTGATTTACTCATTATTTTTTAATAAAATTGTTTGTCGGTTGCTAGTAATTTACTCCTTATTTTTGTATAAATTTGGTTGTCGGTTGCTAGTGATTTACTCCTTATTTTTGTATAAAATTGGTTGTCGGTTGCTAGTGATTTACTCCTTATTTTTGTATAAAATTGGTTGTCATTTGTTAGTGATTTACTCCTTATTTTTGTATAAAATTGGTTGTCGGTTGCTAGTGATTTACTCCTTATTTTTGTATAAAATTGGTTGTCATTTGTTAGTGATTTACTCCTTATTTTTGTATAAAATTGGTTGTCGGTTGTTTGTGATTTACTCCTTATTTTTTTTTTTTAATTGGTTGTCGGTTGCTAGTGATTTACCCCTTATTTTTGTATAAAATTGGTTGTCGTTTGTTAGTGATTTACTCCTTATTTTTGTATAAAATTGGTTGTCGGTTGCTAGTGATTTACTCCTTGTTTTTGTATAAAATTGGTTGTTAGTGATTTACCCCTTGTGTGTAAAAGTGGTTCTTGGTTGCTGTCAGTAAACTTTTTATTTTACTCAAGTATGCTGAGCACTAAGCCTCACAGGTTGGACATGTCTGAAGAATGCCTCGGTTGCTAGTGATTTACTCCTTGTTTTTGTATAAAATTGGTTGTTAGTGATTTACCCCTTGTGTGTAAAAGTGGTTCTTGGTTGCTGTCAGTAAACTTTTTATTTTACTCAAGTATGCTGAGCACTAAGCCTCACAGGTTGGACATGTCTGAAGAATGCCTCATGACAATTTTGGGGACGTTTGCTTTCCTGTGGATGGAGGATGGAGAAACAGAGCTGTGGACAGCATAAGGAACCTAGAAAAAGGACAGCAGAAAGGAAAATATAGGAGTGTAGAATAGCATGGGCAGAAAAGCAGCTGTCAACAGCAACATAGAGGGTAGAGATCAGTGTTTCCCAACCTTTTTGTTTACCATGCTCCCACCTAAGCCTTTCTAATATGTGTATGCCCCCCTATGTAACTTAAACTCTGGACAAGTCCATTTTTTAAATTTCCCCTTAAAAGTAAAATTGCCACATGTTGGGAAACACTGGTATAGATAGAACTACCAGAGTTCTTGTCTCAAGGTGGAAGAAGACACTCATATCTCCTAAGAACAGCTAGTAATATCTAGTGTCTTCCTGCACTGGAACCCACAGAGCCAAAGAAATAAAGGGTGACCAATAGACACATACAGTAAAGATTTATAGACTGAAAGGAATAAATGAGGATAAAATGGGTAATGGGTAATGTCCTGGGAAGTCAGAGCGACTGTCTTGATATTAACCACATCACACACGTACTGATTGATCTATAAAACTGGAGGTCTGGTACTTTATGCCTGATGCGCCTGAAAAAAATGTTCCTGTTTTTTAAACTGAACAGATTATAAGAACATGGGGTAGCAAGGGATAGACTCCCAGACCTACTGCTTGAGGGGCTATGTTTCACTGGTTTTTAAAGGGCAGCAGCAGAAGAAGGAAACACTTTGAACAGACATGAACAAGTTATAGTACTTAAACAAGTGATAACTTTTGTAATTCTCATTATCTTTCTCTCTGCTGCAGACCTTCTATCGAGAATGGCAGAGTTGTTCCCTCCTGCCACATTTCTGGAACTTCTGCCAGCAGATGGCAACCTATACTTCCTGCTTCCATATTTGTGCACAAATCTGAAACTGGATCACACGGAGAGGCTCAAGCAGACGATTGTCAGCATGGGCAAGGATATTTTGTCACACAACTAGAATTTTTGATTGCCATTAATAGTTTCATTTATCAACATAACCAGAGAAAATATTACTATGAACAAGCAGTTGTCAGTTTATCTGTCTTTATCGCAAGGACGTTGATAACACTTAACCATCCGAGACCAAGAGAGAAATGACTCTGTCAGACATGGTGTCAAAACACCTTGCTTCAGATTCACTGAAGCGCACATGGGATGTTTCTGTCATCTTGTTAGAATGCAGCCACAATTACCAGCACAGCTGCTGTGCCTAAAAAAATCAGATGTGAAAGCAAGAGGGAGCCCAGGAATATGGATTGATGACATTAAAGACATTCTTCATCCACAAGATTGACAAAAGCCAGTGTTACCCATCGAGCAATGGATTGCACAATAACATCCCCACCATGATACTTAACAGCTGAAGTGGAAAATGAAGCCAATGACCTTAATAACAGTAGATGGAAGAAGATTTAAAGGGGTGATGTGTAGAAGAGCCAAAAAAGAAAGCAGCATTCAATATAATTAAAAAGAAAAGTTCTTTGTCATTCATGTGTCTGTGTCAATTTAAATATAAAAAAAAAAGAAAGTTCTTATGTGCTATATATAGCTATGGTAGTCACTGAGGTGTAGTCGCTAGATGCTCACCTGCTATCGGAAGGACGTGGGTTTAGGTCCTGAGAGAGCCAGATTTTTTTAAAAATGACCTTGGCTCCCAGCATTGAGTGGTGACCAGGTGCAGTCCTGGGAAGTAAAGGTAGCCTGCATGATGCTGACTACACCACCCACAAGAGTCAATTGGTCTATCAAATTTAGGTCTAGCCCTATATGCCTTAAGGTGTAGAAAAGGGTACTTTATTTTTCACTATATAGAGCTAGTCCTGATATATGGAAATCTTCTTTGTTCGCATTTAAAAGGATGTTTGGTAGGTTATCTTGTGTTGTTACAGCTGGTATCTGTGATATTTGCACCTTCTGGCCCAACACATCTTATTTAAAAAAAAATATTTTGTTAATTAAAAGATCAGATGACTGCTGTCAGGCTAATACTGAGTAGTACTTTGTTCAGAGCCTCTTGTAGGAAGTGTTCAGGATAGAAACAGGCATGGAAAAAGTTCATATGATTTATCAAAGAAGTCAGTTCCATCAAAAGACAACCTGGGTATCTTGTTTCAGCAAATCCTCAAATGGTCACCTTTTACGACATACTTGCTAGGAGCAGTGGGTCTATTTCCCCTCCGCCCACACACACCCAAAAACTGGGACCCCAGAACCCACACGGAGAGTCATGGCAACAATAAAGTTCCCAGACTCCATTATGGAGGAAACTAACAGTAAAAGGCGACTAATTAGCATTTTGATGAAATTGGATGTCACAAATATCACAGCCTAGCTGAAATCCACAACACAGCATGCCAATCACCCTTTTAGGGATAAAAGAGGGAATGAGTTTGTTTATATTTCAGATTAATAACCACTTGCTGGAGTTGTTTTATTTTGCTGTTCAATAAGTTGTATGTTATATTAATTGTTAATGTTCATATGCTTTCATGCATTTTGATAACATATAATGTTTATTATTATGTTTATTCTGTTATTTTATCAGTCTAATACCAATGTCAGAATGATAACAACAATTGTAGTAAAATACAAATGATAAGACAGTGATGACAAGACAATAACTTTGACAAGACAATAATAACCGTGTGTATTCAATGAGTATGATCCGGAGGGTTCGGGCAGGTTCAGTGCGAAGACAATGGCTTGAATCATTACAGAAGTCCTCTGTGTGTGGAGTCACCTTTATTTTTGTTCCGGGACACGCAGGCGTCGATGGAAATGAAAGAGCTGACAGGTTGGCTGGATCCGCTATCACTACGGACGGTCAGCCTATGGATCATGCTGATATTATCAATGCCCTCAGAGAAATGGGAAGGATAGAGGACTTTGGTGGCAGTGAATCCACATCACTCGCCAGAATGGCAGACTTGGGAATTAAGATCGGCACAGCAAAAAACAAGACGCACACCAGACACGCCAGAAGACTTGTTAATCAACATAGAACTGGTACTATTAGCCATCGGACGTTGGGGTTCATACTGAGGGGAGGATCTGAGCACCTATGGACATGTCCGGAGTGCAATGAGGATAACCCAACTAACTAACTAACTAACCGTGAATGAAGGAAAATAACAGTGACAGGACAACAACGACAGCAGTCATGACAGTGACATGACCACAGTGACTGGACAGTCATGACAGCTACAGGACAATCATCTCTTCTTCTTTTGTTCACTTGAATTATATTATAAAATCTGTAGTGTTGTCTCTAGTACAAACTTAAGTGTCTTTTTAAATTCACTCAGCGGCCTGTAAAGTTTAGCTTACACTTGTGTTTCTCTTGGCCAGAAGTTTTGCTTTGATGTATTATGGTATTTGGGACAGTCTTGGAGGACGTGAGCTGTTGTCTCAGATGCTAGTCCATGTGTGCAAAGGGCGGCCGACTGGCAAATCTTAAATTGTGTACATGTGACTGAAGTTGACTGCCTAGTTCTGAGGGACAGAATTATGACTTGCTGTGGTCTGTCCGTGAAGGGTAATAGTCTTGTGTTGGCGGCTTTGTGATTGATCTGATGAGTCTCTTCTTCTGTTGATAGGAGACTGGTACATCTGTTGTTGTTCTTTGCACCTTCCTAAGCTAGTTTATCAGCTGTATCATTTCTGGGAACTCCATGTGGGATGGTATCCATTTCATAGTTACCTTACAATGGTTGCCTAGTTCGGAGAGTAGTGTCCGTATACCTAGTAATTTCTCCAGACAGGAGTGCTTGAAGCACTGCTTTTACATCTGTCAGGAATACCATGGATTGAAATATGAATGGTATTTAGAGGTCTCTGCTGCCATCTTAATGGCCCTAAATTCTCTGTCATAGTTGTGACAGCACTTTCCTGATAGTATCTTGGCTGCATCCCTGGTGTTATTGTGGTGCTCAAGGTAAACTCCTGCTCCTCCATTTCTGCTTGAGTTTTGTGCTGATCCATCTGTGTAGACACGAACCCAAAGATCCTTTGGGTATTCATGAAAATGATGAGATGACAATGACACAACAACATTACAATCAAGACAGTGACAGGAGTAAATGACAATGACTGATCAATAATGACAATAATTATGACAATAACAGCGATAAGATAATCGCAGTGATAAGATGACAATCACAGGACAATCATGACAATGACAAGACAATGATGACAGTGACAGGATAACAATGACAGGAGGACAATGACAGGACAATAATGATAAGATGACAATGACAGGACAACCATAAGATGACAAATAAAGGACAACAATAAGGTGACAGGGCAACAATGACAAGCTGACACTGACAAGAAAACAATGAGGTGAAAGTGACAGGACCATGATAAGGTGACAAGACAACTGTGATAAAATGACAATTACAGGACAACAGTTACATTGCAATCATGACGACAGGACAACAATGATAAGATAACGATGACGAGTGACAACAATGAAAATAACAGGACAACAATGACAGGACAAAAGCAGCTGGCTGAGCGGTTACAACATCGGGCTCTTATGAAGGAGACCCGGGTTCGATCCTCAGTAAGATGATGCAGTTTTTCTGTCAGGGGCAAATTAAACATCCTAACGTGTACAGTCTGTCGCAATCCCCCTGTCTGCATCACCCTAAAAGTGGTACATTCAGACAGTAGTGACAGTTTTAATAATGACAGGACAACAATGACAATCGTAACAATGGCAAAGCAATCATGACAATGACAGGACAATAATGACAAAGTAATATATACAATGACGTGACCAGTAAATAATGACAGGATAATAATAATAATGACATGAAAGTAACAAGACAATAACAAAAATGACATAACAGTCCAATAATAATCATAATGACAAAACCATGACAAACCAATAATAACAATTACATAACATGAACACTACAAGACAATATCAGTTAGTTGCAGCTCTAGCTTCATATCACAGGTCACCCCATAATTGTTCAGATCCTGTGCCAGCAATAACCTCGACAGAATGCTCATCAAAACCCTAGGTGAACAAACAGTGAAGCAAGCTGTAGTTCCCACATGACCAGCTGCACGCACATGCTTTAAATTCATAAGGCACACTGCCAGACTGTCAACACCAACTGTTGAATTGTAATTCATCGTCGAAGGAAGCTGCCATCGTGACAACAATAATGACAAGACAATCATTTTAAAGACATGATGTAATAACATGCAGCAACAATCAACCGCATGTTGCCAGACAGAGCAATAGGTATTTTAAAATACTACAAGAATTTTTAATCCATTGCAAATTTGACGAATGCAGTAATAAATATTGCCGGCACACATACATGGGGGTGAGACAATCAAAAGTATACACTCCAAGATGATTTTTTCACAGACATGTGCTCAAATCTTGACTCTTATTATGTCGGTGTGCAGGCGTACGATGCAAGATAAAGACCTACTGGCTCTTGGTGAGTGATGTGATCAGCATAATCCTGGCCATCTTTACTTCAAAGGACATTATTTGGTACACATTTCTGGCTGGGTCCACCTGAGAGCCATGGTGTCATTTAAAAAAAAAAAAATCTGATGATTCAAAACCAAGATCACGGGGCTGGCAAGCAACCAACAAATAAAACAAACACAGCATTATCTAACAAAGTCAGCGTAGCCATTATGTTATCACAATCGACGTCACTGCATATTTCCATGCTGATCATTATTTAAGCAGCTATATATGGAGCATTTCACAATCAGTACAGAATAATCCTTCTTCTTTTTCTACCTTTCTAGCCCCAGATGGAGCATAGGCCCTCAACCAACTCACGCCAAGTCGTTCTATCCTTTGCAGCTCTCCCCATCTTTCTAACTTCATTCTCCAGCTCCCTTCTCCATGTGTTTTTTGGCCTTCCTTTATCCTATGCCCTTGTGGGTTCCAATGCAAAGACATTTTGTTGCCCCGGACAGAAAAACAAATGTATAACAACTTGCCAAAGAAAATAATCCTAGGCTAGGTGTTATACATTTTTTCTGTCTGGGGCAACAATAAAAATCTGAACCTGCACAGTTTGTGGCAACTGCACTAGCCATGTGGCCGTAAACTCCCTCCCCCCACACTCCTCTCCAGTACTATACTGTGGTAAGTACAGCAGTAATGATAGTTTTATCCCCTGCATTAAAGAAAAACAGGGCTTTTTATCTTGTTAGATGGCCAAAACCATCTAATCTGTTGTTCTTTAATGAACTGTATAAACCAGCTGCAGTCCTAGTCTTCATCTAATTTCTACACTTTAAATTCTATCTATTTATCTCTTCTTATTACTCTAGCAGCTCTTTTGTTACAGTTTTTACTCAACAGTAGTAGTCAGGGACCATGTCTGACACTAATAGCACAGAGCTGGCCACAAAACAATTTAGTTATTAGATCTGCATAATCACAATCTTTTCGAGCAATCTTTCCAATAACCTCCAGGAGGAACTAATATCGTTTGTAAATGACCATACCATTTGTGAATCACCATCATAAATAAAGACAACAGACAAACCTTGTGTGGGTACCTGGACCCCATTGTGAGGTTAAAAAGAACAGATACATTGCACCCCCCCCCCCCCCCCCACCCCTCACCCAACAGGCAATGCACTAAAATAGCAGGTGGTTGACTACTACTTTTGCGTGTGCAATAACGGCTTTTGTGATTATCAGTCTGCAGCAACAGTTAGTTGCAATTCTGGTGTGTGACCGTTAGTGTTGGCACATCTACCAGCTGCCATATGTATTTTTTCTTTGGGTATGCGAGCTTAACGTTTTTGTTGGGACTAAAAAGTTTTAACACGAGCTTTTCATGGGTAGAGAAATGAACAAATGCACTGATACTTTAAGAACTGAATACTGAAGAAGAATGGCTATTAAAAACGATAAAACACAGAAAACTGAAATTTTTTAGTCACTTGAAACATCATGAAAGATTAGAGAGAACAATAATGGAGAGGTATAGGCCTGGGAAGAGAGGAAGAGGAAGGCCAAAGAGAAGATGGGTGCAGGTTGTGGCGGATGATATCCAGATATGTGTATCGGACGCGGGACATCTTGCTTCTGATTGAGAAGTTTTTTGGAGGGTTCTTATGGGAGCAAGATTCTGCAAAGGACTTGCTACTGACTGACTGAACCATCTAGTGAATCTTTCCGACAGCCCCCAGATGTAGAAGTTTATGAACCACCTTAGTACACAAAGGCATAAGAAATCTTACATGACACTTATCAATCGTCATCCCCTTGTGGGATGCAATTTTCAGTTATTTTGAAGCCCCACCCTGGCTTTTGCCAGGGGCCCTAAATATAGCTGGGCCTTAAATACGGCTGAATGGGGTTTCCAGAACCCCTCCATGGGTGATCCTCATCTGCATGGTGACACTTTGGTGTTTTTTCGCTGGTGCGCTTCAACTAACCTACCTACATGACACATAATTTAATACCTTAACTTAATCATCTAGTGATTCTTTCCAAGATTTCCTAGGTAGACCCACTTTGTGAACCATCTCAGTATATAATGTCATCAGACAAATCTCATATGACACATAATTTAATATCAAAACTTCCCATGTGGGTTCTAGGCTCTATTTTGGGGGCGGGGGAGGAACAGACATACTGCCCCTGTAACAAGCATGTTATAAAAGGTGACTAACTAGAGAAGTTTCCTTCAAAGTCGGAGTGCATCTGCCTGAGACATAAGGAACCAACAGTCTGCATATAAATAAACAAAATCTTCAAAATGGATGTACATGCAAAACTCAAGTTCTGGAACAAGACCAAAGTCCAGAAATGGGTGAACAACCAACAATTTCTGCCAGAGTTTACAGCCAGTGAACGCCAAGAAGAAGAATACCAAAACTGTACCATCTAGTGATTGGCTGTTCAATCAAGTTCACTCAGGGACCAACATTTTGAGAATGGGGGTCGCCAGGGCAGGGGTCCTGAGACCCAGCATAGAGAGATCATTAACACAATACAACTGGCAATGATCTGTGGGCCACTTGGTTGGCCACCAGTTAAATATCCTTGATCTTTTCAACAGCCTCCAGGCGACACTAACTACCACCTTGTGAATCACCTATGTACATAAAAGCTGAGTGGCCTCGAGTGCTGGAGGTGCCGGATTCAAGCCCGGGTGAAGGCTGGGATTTTTTTCACATGGACTTCTAGTAATTTCCCCTGGTCTCTGGGTAGTCAGATCGGAGACCCATGTGTATTGTTGCATACGTAAAAAAAATCCCTTGGCAGTTGAAAAAAGAAAAAATTTGAAGTTAAAAAGCGACTCAAATTTTTTCAGGATCCTTACCGGTGCTACGATGTCTAAACCTAAACACAAAAGCATCACACAAATCCCACACAACACAGAATTTAATATGATTGCAGTATGTACAACTTAATGACTGCATCTCTGTATATAACAGAATTAAATAAACCCCACACAACACAGGCATAATTTAGTATGGTAACAGTATTTACAGCTTCTTAACTGCATCTCTGTAGATAAAGGCATCAGATGAACCTCACATAACGCACTATTTAACATGGCTGCAGTTTGTACAGGTTTATGACTGCACCTCTATATAAAGTCAACACACAAGCCTCACACAACACATAATTTTATATCAAAACCTCACTATCTAGTGGTCTTCGGGGCACTATGAACCACCTCTGTACACAAAGGCAACAGAAAATCCCCTTCCCCCCCCTCCACAGAATTTAATATGGTTGCAGTAGGTACAGCTTGTTGACTGCAGTGTTGGTCACCACCGGACTTCCTTGGTTCCTGATGACACCTCCAAACAGCATCAGTTCTCCCCGGCCCTCCAATATACTACAGCAGATTGTCTCAGTTGGAGCCCCGTTAGGCTGCAGCTCACTCAGCGGCCTCCATTCTGCAACTCCATCAGTCAGCACTCTGCTGATGTCCAAAACATGCATGTCCATTTTATTTCTGGAGGACACTACTTCAGGAACTAATTCTGCAGATGCATCTACCACCTGATCGTTGGGCCTCTGTATTCTGGATGCTGCCAATGCCCGAGATTTGGAGCGTAGGAGTTCTTCCTGGCGCTGCAAGGCTTCTAGCTGCTTCTGCCGATTGTTCATGGCATTTGGGCGAATGGAAGGCATACTGCCCCTTGACCTTCCACTTGAAAGATGGTTGTTGTTTAATCGCTGTAAACTACCAAACTGAGGCTGGTCTGCATTTTGAGGTGGTGGTGTGTGCAGAATCAGTGGCCTGTGGACATATTCATGTGGCTGAGGATGATGTAGAGATGCTGAAGGAAGCACTGGTCTATGGACATATTCATGCTGCTGCGGATGGTACAGTGGAAGCATCTGTCCGTTGCTGTTTTGGTGGTGCTGAGACGCCCCTTGTTCATTCCCCCACCGGTTGGATATTCTATGAAAGTAACCCTCAGCATCGTCTCCGGCCACGTGGGAGCGATGGTGGTGGTTGTTGGGGTCTGGCAGGTTCATACAGTCTCTGTGCAACTGCTGTTGTAAGGAGAGAAGCTTACTGTTAGGCTGTGCCACCCTCTCTGCTTCCTTTCCTTCGGGGTCGTCAGGGTAATCAGCACCTGCCTGATGAGGCAGGTGTGCCTGAGATGGTTGTTGCTGATGGTGATGTTCAAGCTGCTGCTGCTGATCTTGATGATGCTGCTGACGATTCTGGAGCTCATTCTTGGGACTCAGCTGAGGCTTAAGAGATTTTGGAGAAAGAGGTGAGCTGTCTGTGCTACTACAGCTGCTATCACTGCTGGACCAATCCGATGTGTGAGGGCTCCTCTGTGGGGTATCCGGCTTAACGGTACGAGTCTGTCTCACTTTTGATGATCTGGCTACCACAACTATTGTGTCTTTTACCTGCATCAAATACAATCATTAAAAAAGGTCAAAAAAATCCAACAAATAATTATTAAATGATAACTCTTAACAAACAAATTTAAGTAAACATTTTGAAAATATGCATCAATATTTATTCATGATTTTATTTTAGCAAAGCACAAGACGAATCCTGCATCACAATTTGATTGCTGTGGTCTCCATAACTAACCACTTGATATTTTTCTTCTTCCCAAAGTTAAAACCCACCCTCAGAAGTAATGATTTCAGCCAGTAGAAGAGATCATACAAGATTTGCTTTGAGACATGCTATCGCAGAAACTTATTTCCAGAATGGTACTTCAGTGATGACAAGACTAATCAACTGTCTCCATGTGGGTTCTGAGGCCCCGTTTTGGGAAGAAAAGGAGTAGTAGACCCACTGCTCTACGATATCGTAGAAGGGGTATAATTAGGAGTTTGCTGTGTTGGGCTTTCGGGCGCACATATCGCAGCCTAGCAGTAAGCCACAACACAGGGTGAACACAAAAGAATAATTACTAAACTGTAAGTAAATAACATATGAAACAAAATAGTTTAAAGTCTGGTTTATCTTCAACTGTCCTCACTGGCCAGAACTGCTTTTATATAGAAAATGAAAGTCCCAGAGCTTTTGCAAACAATGACATACCCGACAAGCTGCATGACACCAAGTTTGTGGCGCTGCCAGCTCCGGATGTCTGATTGTCAATCTCGTCCACTGCCAAGGGTCTGTCGCATGCAGGGTCAACAACCACAGGTCACTGTAAACCTAAATGTCAAGAATAAGGAGAACCTCTATAGCCAACAACAAAATAAGATACATCTTTAACTCTTTCACTACAAAAGAATGCATCAACTGGTAATTCATTCATGCAATGTCCTGTTGTGTCACTATATATCACATTTGGCTCACAGTATGTCTCCATTCCATTCTATCATGTACAATCAATTCATGGAACCCAGTTCAGAACCTCTGCCTTCTCTCATCAATGTTCGCCTATCCTTAAACCCCTTTATGGTTTGCACCATTCACCACTTGACTCATCTGTTTGTGGGAGGGTCTATATGTGGTGTGGGAGGGTGTGAATGTGGTGTGGGAGGGTGTAAATGTGGTGTGGGAGGGTGTGAATGTGGTGTGGGAGGGTGTGAATGTGGTGTGGGAGGGTGTGAATGTGGTGTGGGAGGGTGTGAATGTGGTGTGGGAGGGTCCAAATGTGGTGTGGGAGGGTCCAAATGTGGTGTGGGAGGGTCTGAATGTGGTGTGGGAGGGTCTGTATGTGGTGTGGGAGGGTCTGTATGTGGTGTGGGAGGGTCTGTATGTGGTGTGGGAGGGTCTGTATGTGGTGTGGGAGGGTGTGAATGTGGTGTGGGGAGGGTGTGAATGTGGTGTGGGAAGGTGTGAAGGTGGTGTGGGAGGGTGTGAATGTGGTGTGGGAGGGTGTAAATGTGGTGTGGGAGGGTCTGTATGTGGTGTGGGAGGGTCTGAATGTGGTGTGGGAGGGTCTGTAAGTGGTGTGGGAAGGTGTGAATGTGATGTGGGAGGGTGTGAATGTGGTGTGGGAGGGTCTGAATGTGGTGTGGGAGGGTCTGAATGTGGTGTGGGAGGGTCTGTATGTGGTGTGGGAGGGTCTGAATGTGGTGTGGGAGGGTCTGTATGTGGTGTGGGAGGGTCTGAATGTGGTGTGGGAGGGTCTGAATGTGGTGTTGGAGGGTCTGTATGTGGTGTGGGAGGGTCTGTATGTGGTGTGGGAGGGTGTGACTGTGGTGTGGGAGGGTCTGAGTGTGGTGTGGGAGGGTGTGAATGTGGTGAAGATTAAAACCCCAGTTGGTGATGTTTCAGATGATATGGTACGTATATAACCTTTTATGAATTAATTATGACCTCATAAACTTATTAATAAACTCCATTAATTGTATTCCTATAATGAAAACTGACAAATCTTTATCTCATTAATAAGGGGAAAACCTTATTAATTTGTACCTCACTATCGTCTTTGCGTTCCCTGGCTGTAAACTCCAGCTGAAAGTTCCGGCTATTTGTCCACTCCCAAACTCTGGCTTTGATCCAGAACTGGAGTTCTGTGTGCACATTTGTTTTACAGATCTGGCTTATTTGTATGCAGACTGCTGGTTCCTTGCCTCTCAGGCAGATGCACTCTGATTTTGAAGGCAACACCCCTAAATAGTCACCTCCTAAAAAATGCTTAATAGACGAGGGAGAGGGCAGCTGGTCTATTTTTAGTTCTCTAAAATGGAGCCCAGGAACCCACACAGGAAGTAATCTTAAAACCAAAAGCATGATTATTAATTATCTCATCACCTTAATAATAAATATACAGACCCCAATATTCTTTACAAGGAAGCTTAAATCCTTATCATCAAGAAGAAACATAATGAACCTTTATCTCATAAACTTAATAGTAAATGAATAAATCAAATCTTTATCCCTTTATGGATTTAAACCACATCGCATTACTCCATTAAAAAATCATAAAAAGCGTGGAAGATCATCTGTGTCAGAGTTGACTGAAAGTACACGAGACAGAGGGTTGTGGATGGACATGACTGCCAAAGCCACATGGCATGGACTCTAGTATAAATTCGACTGTCCTCTAGACAGCATAAATTCTAACCTGATCTCAAAGCAATAAACTGTCCTGCTGATTGACAAAAAGGTTAAAATGTCCGCCACTAGTGGTCCCACTCATAAGGGTGTCAGGATCAATCGAGAAAGCCATGCCTGATGCATGTTTTCCATTACTGTCACGCTAAGGGTCGCAATGCAACAATATGAAAGGTATCTAATGTGCTGAAGAAGACTGTGGCCATCTGTGTGGTCACTGGTCGTGGACCTGCGGGCTGCTTCCTTTTGACGTCTAGAAGGTGCAGCCAATGAAATGTGAAGCCCAATATACAGATGTTAGGTTAAGCTGTCATGTGCAGAACACGATGATTCATTGGGTGATCTAAGGACCAGAGCTACATGTGTCAGCTCTGCATTTATGGAAACCTCCTTGGAACGCAGGAAATGGCCATGTTCTGCCCTTGCCTACCATGCAGGGCTGACCAGCCTACACACAGTTGCCCAGGATGGGTTCTCCAGGGACAATACTTGTGGATAAAGAGACAAAAAAGACACTATACATATAAGGCTACGCCATATTCCACACAACCAACCGGGAAGACTAACCCAGTGAACAAATACCAGATGAAGACGGATGTGTTGACTGAAAGGCACAAATATTGCAGCGATGCTGTCCATAGGCACAGTGCAATTAACCTCATTTGGAGACAATAAATTTCCTAGCATAAATTCTATGTTCTCCCCAAGACAGCATAAATTCTAAATTGGTCCCAAGACAATAGATCTGCTAGTATAAAATCTACACGGTCCCCAAGACAATAAATCTGCCAGCATAAATTATATACTGTCCCCAAGACAGCACAAATTCTAACCTGGTCCCAAGACAATAAATCTGCTAGCATAAATTCTATACTGTCCTCAAGACAATAAATTTGACACTGTTCCCAAGATAGCCCAAATTCTAACCTGGTCCTAAGATAATAAATCTGCTGAACCATGATACTATAAAAAAAAAAAAAAAAAAGGCCACTCACCCTGTTCTGGCCCACGCAACCACCCATGATGAGAATATGTTGTTCATCCAGTGTTGTCTGAAGAAGAAATGCATACAGTAAACCAGTGCTATTCAACTGATGGATCAAATCCGGCCCTTAGAGGCCTAGCCAGTGGCCCGAAGATCATTGCCAGTTGTATTATTAATCTTTCTACATTGGGGTTTGGGCCTTTGGCCCACGATGATCCCAATTTTCAAAATGTTGGCCCCTGAGTGAGCTTAGTTGAAAAGACCTGAACCCTCGTTAATACAAACTCTAAGGGGCAGAAGAAAAGACTTCATGTTGAACACAATCCGTCCTAACCAGAAACTCAGTTCTGTAATTACCACACAGAAAAAAGTTTTGCCGCCCCAACAACGAAGGTGACTATGAGTACTATTACTGTCCTTGAGAATATGACGCTATGAGGTCCCAATCTCTTCCACACTATGACTCTTGTACATCTGACCGAAAAAAAACACTACTGCAGGAACTGAACGATAATAATATTCATCGTGCAGGTTCCAAAGTCGCGCAAGCATGCGCGCGTGTTTGTGTGAGTGGGTGCGTGTGTGTATGAGGGGGGGGGGGGGAGGGGGGTGGGGGAATAAAGGGAAAGACCCACTGCGAAGTAACAAGTATGTTGCAAAAGTAGTTGACTAATTAGGGGTGTTTCCTGCTAAGTCGGAGTGCATCTGCCTGAGAGATGAGGAACCAACAGTCTGCATACACATAAACCAGATCTGTAAAACAGACAAAACTCAAGTTCTGGAACAAGTGCGAAGTCCAGAAGTGGGTGAACAACCAGAACTTTCTGATGGAGTTTACAGCCAGTGAGTGCTAAGAAGAAGAAGCGATCTGATGGCTGCGTGTATATTCACTGCTGTCTTCAAACTGTTCTATACTTTTGGTAAACAGTATGTACACTGCTAGCTTTGGTGGGGACTGCTTTTTACTGCCATCACCATTATCATCTGCTCAACCGATAAGCATAGGTGGTCACGTTCACTATCTCACATAATCTCCAGGGTCACAGATCAGGTCAGTGCTACAGGGTCTCACCCCATCCAAACTGCTGTTGTGAATTGATTATTTCACCTCAGTAACTTACCTATCTAGCTGCCTAGTGAGGTTAAAACTCAACTTCATGCTTAAGTTCAGGGAATATAAATTTTTACTGCCTGTATGCAAGCAAGCCTTGCCTACTACTTCTTTCTATGAGTGCCGATCAATACATGTCTATTCATTTTATACATAAATACATGTATATGTGTGTGCATACGTGTGTGTGTGTGTGTATGTATGTGTATACACACACACACATATATATATATATATATATATATATATATATATATATATATATATATATATATATATATATATATATATGTATATATATATATATATATATATATATATATATATATATATATATATATATATATATATATATATATATATATATATATATATATATATATATATATATAATACACCCATACATAAACACACGTCTCTACAACCTTAAGAGTTCCCTTTTTGCTTATTTCCATGTAGTACATGCAATACATGGAACCCACCAATCAATTCCTTCCTATAAATCTTCACTGTGTTCTTCTTCTTCTTCTGCGTTCATCCGAAGATGTAATTGCGTTGTGTCTGTTTACAGCATGGCTGCGATATTTGCACCTTTCGGTCAACACATTCGGCTTCTGCTGGCATTTGTTGACCGGGTTAGCCTTTCCGGCACTGTATTCAAGATAGAGCATTATGGTCCCATGTGTTTATAATCGTTGTTGTGTTTGTTATTCGACCAGTGCTTGGCTAATATGAATTTCTATAACCTGTAGTGATATTTCAAAGGTTTGAGATCATCTCCGTTATTCTATAGTTGGGATTCGCTCTACGAAAGACATAGCTAAGGAAAACATGGTCTTTTTAGGGGTGCCTTACTAGTCATGCATCTTAGTACACTTGTTCATGCAGCGAAGCACTGTCATCATTTATAGCTTATTCCCAGCAGGTAACTATAGCTTAAAAATTGTATGTTGTCAAGTGTGTCCCGTCTTTCTACTTCTTTCTATTAGTGCTGACCATTGTATGTCTAATTCATTTTAATATGCATAGGGAGAGGGGAGGGGGGGGATAAGAAACATGAAGCTTGTAGCCCTTTTAATTCCTCATCTGAACCATGCCCTCCTCTAACCTGGCAACTGAACTGAATGGCTACCATAAACATTGCAATTACAAGAGAAGAACATTTACGTTTATGGGACTACCTGGAACTGGCCATATCGAGGCTCTGGTTTAGCATGAGTGACTGGCTGCAGCATCCAGGAAGCCTTCAGGAAGTTAAACACCCACAAGTTGTTTGTTCTGTGTTGTCACAGAAAAAAAATGTGTCATGAGGTAACATTTTCATGTCAAATTAATTCATACAAATTAATTAAAACATAAGGAACAGAGAAAAAAAAGAGGGGAAAATAACTGCAGATAGGCTGACAGTTGGGCGTCTGAGAAGAAGCACACCAAATACACAGGACTGCAACAATGATCTTTGAATTCCCATTCTCTAACTGTGAAAGAATTTTCTTGATGCGCTTGGGTCTTGCTAGTCACACTGGCCATGGGCTGTGACTCCCATGCCTCTCTATAGCACAATATAACACTAACGTCTGCAAAAACAGAAAAGTGCCAACTTCAGGGGTGTCCTCAGCTGGTCTGGTGTAATATTTCCTACCTGATAAAATATTTCTTTTTCTTCATCTGCCTTTTTACCCCCAATGAATCCAGACTCCTTTCGACTTTCTACACACCGTGTCCCACTTCTTCTACTAGAAGAGCCTCCCCTCATCTTGTTGGTTGGTTGGTTTTTGTGGCTATTATTTTTACAGGATGAGGTAGCCAACCTCAAGCCCAACTCTACCCTTAGCTGCCTTTTGCGACATGCCTGGTGCAGTGTAGTGACACTATTCTTTGCTTCCCGTGAGGGTCCCGTTGATTCACGGGCAAGTTAAATATTTCTACACAGAAGTAAAATTAATATTTCATAACGAAAAATGTGAATGATGAGCTGAGTGAATACATGGGAGCTTTTCTTGCAGACCTTCTTGTGGGTCTTGTTTTGAACACACATGTGGGGGAAGGACACTTGTGTTTTCTCCTGACTGACTGACTTTCAGTTCGTGGTTAGAAGTGAAGTAAAACTAATTTCTAGATTCTTAAAATAATTCCAGATTTCAAAGTGCCTGAATGTCCGATCTGACCTGGTAAGTGGATCTGGCCAGGAGTGTATACAAAAAAAAAAAAAAAAAAATGAGGCCAAGTCAGAAGTCAAGGAGACAGAACTGCAGCCAAGTGGACATATCAGTCAGCTTTATCAATCAACACTGTGCCATCTGCCTTCCAATGATTTTAGAACAATCCATTTTATTTTGTTTTCACTAGTCTTGTGAAGATCATTTTAGATTTAATCACTGTATATGTCAGTGATCAGTAGTGTATTATATTATAATATATATATATACGTAAAAAAAAGCTTACTAGGGAATCCACTGTCAGCAGCAAGTGAAACCTCATTCTTAACCCTTTGGCACAGAGAAGCATATATTGAGGCACTTACATCTGTAATGAATCCTCATAAATGCCCTTATCCCTCAAAAACCAGCACAACTGCAGTGAAATGTCCCTGAGAAGCTTATTATTGGCAGTAGTTTTGTTTATGCTGGTACTCTTTAGGAGGCCGGGGATATGATTTTACTTACTTTTTTTTTTAAGCACTTGAGGGGAAAAGGGGAGGGGTGGGGTGTGTGCATTGTGAAGAAAAAAAATAGCTTTTGAAAGGCCATTATGGTGTCATAATTTAACCTGACGTTGTAGTCTCGTACTGACATGGTCACATCCGCCTTTTTTTTAACATGCCCTGTGAGTTAGTTACAATAACATGTCGGACTATTACTCTCAAGCCACTGGAAAAGTGATGTTACCACCTCCACTTGCATGCTGGATTTTGTGACATTATACACAGGTCTCTCCTTGTTTAAACAATGTCCATTTGCTTTTGCAATCAAACCTGACCCCCCACATTTTACAGCTCACTATAGATCTTTGTGTGTACATAATAATGTCACCTGGGTGTGAATTGTCACTGATCAGCTGTCGCACTGTTGAGAAATCATATGACTAATGCAACTGGTTTAAAAAAGGGTCCTTTACTTGGATTTTCTTACCCTAAACCTGGCCTTGGCGAGCCACCAAAAATGACCATCAGATGACCTGCAACAGAAGCTGAGTGGCCACCCAAAGCTTCTGGCTCCTGGCCAATTGATAAGACGTGAGACCAGCGATTGGTGACAGTACTGTATACATGCAGCTCAGAAAAATAGTGTGCTGACTGGGGAAAAAAAGAATTTGTAAATGCTATTAATTCGGCCTCAATGCAACACACAATAAAACATACAATTATCAGGAACATTCAACTAAAACTCATTCATGCTACACCATGTGTATATGTGTCTGCTGGATATGAACATCCTACAGTCATGTGATAAGTATTGACCAATGAATAAAAGAGGACATGCTGATCATCCCATGAGGCATAGGTTATGTTTCTTACACAAGAGAAAATGGTCTAGTTGATTCAAAATCCGCCCAATGAAGCTCAAAGAGCAGTGATTCCGTGTTTTTTTTTTATTGGACGATGTGATCTTTAGACATTCAGCAGGCAGCAAATTGTAACAAATGTGTGTCAAAAACAACAGTGACAGACTGGGCAAGAATGTTTAAGCAAGGACATGAGTTCATGACAGATCTTCCACAGCCGGGTCAAGCATTTGTTGCAACATCATTGTCAAAATGTATGCAGCAATATAGATGAACCAGCACTGTCAAAGAATACATTCACTAGCACATAAATTGATGCCTCAACTGAGGCAGTTTAAAAGGTTGTTCATAAGAAACTGCAATATCTGAAGGTGTGTTCATAGTGGGTTCCATTTTTAAGGTGTAGCAGTTTAACACAGATGCAGACATAATGAATTCAGTAAACACAATCCTTTTTTGCGGACAGCATTTTCTGTCGACATAAGCACTGGGATGCTCGCCTAATTGCCTACGGCCACTTTTTCTGACCAAACCACCATGATGCATAATTCATTCAAAATGAATGATTTGTTTAATTCTTTCATGCTTTTGTAAGAAAGCCATCTAAACTGGGGATTTTTCTTTCATGCTTATGAAATAGAGCAATTTGAACTGGTTTCAAATTAACGCTGCTTACAAAAAAAAAAAGAATACAGATCATGTTCAGTCAGTCAGTTGGATTCCAATTTCACGGCACGCAGGAGTCATCATCACTGCTCCGTTCCTGTGCCGGCGAACAACCACACAGAATGCCCAGCACTGCCCCTTGTGAATAAGTGAAACTGGCTGCAGTGGTCGTAAGGCCAACAGCATGCACACACATTCAATGTCAATCTGCACTGAATCAGATTTATCAAATAATTTTTTTTTTCTCCCAGGTTGATTCAGACAAAAATATGTACCAGGAAAAGTCAAGGGAAGTAAAGGCAGCCAGTTTGATGCTGACCACATAACCCATCAAGTACTGATTGGTTTACAAAAATCTGACTTTAGTATCATTATATCGCTAGTATAAAAAAGTGTCCTTTGCTACATATATGTACATAAAGAATGAACACAAACAGGGACAGACCTGGTGTAATGGGTAAGGTATGGGGTGGCTCCAGCCACCAAACAGCACCAAGTTTCCATTGTATTCAACCATTGTTGCGCAAGCTTTCGGCGATGGATAGGTACCTGAAATTATAACATGGAATGCTTACTGTCGACATTTGTGTAGTATTGGGGTATTTTTTTTAAATATCTAGAAACCATGAATTCTTAACCCTTTGGCTCGGTACTATGGATATCGCAACCTTTCAGCCTTGATTCCATGATAAATATCATAAATCTGGGAGCAATGTGGCTTTTCTCCCTACCCCCGGGTGTCGCGAAGTCAGGTTTAGCCAACTACGCTAGCGAGCCAGGCAGTATTGGGGTATAAAACACAGTACAGTTTTTGTCCTGCTTATTTCCAATTACTAGTGCATTAGGAGGAAACATGTAAGTGCTCATTCTTCTTCTTTTCCGCATTCACCAGCTGTGAACAAGTTTTGTGTGCACGTCCATTTCACAGATCTTGCTTATTTGTATACAACACCACTACAAGCAAATCACATACCCACAGCTACAACAACACTGCAAAAAAATCACATACTCACAGCTTCAACACCACCACAAACAAATCACATACCCACAGCTACAACACCACTGCAAACAAATCACATACTCACAGCTTCAACACCACCACAAACAAATCACACCCACAGCTACAACACCGCCACAAACAAATCACACCCACAGCTACAACACCACCACAAACAAACCACATACTCACAGCTACAATATCACCACAAACAAATCACATACTCACAGCTACAATACCATCAACAAATTACTTACCCACAGCTACAACAATACAAACATATCACATACCCACAGCTTCAACACCACCAAAAACATATCGTACACCCATGGCTACAATGCCACCACGAAACATATCACATACCCACAGCTACAACACAAACATATCACATACCCACAACTTCAACACCACCAAAAACATATCGTATACCTATGGCTACAATGCCACCACAAACATACCACATACCCACAGCTACAACAACACAAACATATCACATACCCACAACTTCAACACCACCAAAAACATATCGTATACCTATGGCTACAACGCCACCACAAACATACCACATACCCACAGCTACAACAACACAAACATATCACATACCCACAACTTCAACACCACCAAAAACATATCGTACACCTATGGCTACAACGCCACCACAAACATATCACATACCCACAGCTATAACAATGCTATCAAATCACATACCCATGGCTATAGGCCTAATCCACTGCCTGGTTGTCAAATCCAGTCTCCATAAATCATTAAACGTGGTGTTTGTGGATGTACAGCCCCCAAACACATACATAGACCCATCATAGTAGACAGCGCTGTGTGAGAACCGATCACTTATTCTGTTGATAATACAAAGAAAGAAAGCTACAGGCATCTGTTACGCCACCTCAGTCACCAATCATTCACTCAAGCAGCCACTCTTTTCACCAACAGCTCTGACCCTGGCACCCAACTTAGCCTTCTCTCCCCTCCATCCCTCTCTCCAACTCTTCCCCTAACATCCTTATTATTTCTGTCTATCTCTCCCTCCCTTCCCCTCTCTCTCACACATCCACCCTCACACACACATATGGTATAGTTCTTAATAAACCAGATTTCATGTTGTCTTAATTGCAAATCTTACCCCTTGATGACCCTCTCTGCATGTCGGGTTTGGCCTTCAGATGTCACACAAGTCCAGCTAATGTCACATTTCGACAGGCTCTGATGAAATCTCCGTCTCAAATGTTTGACAACAGCTGCAAGAGAATTAAAACAACATAGCGGACTGTAAATAGCTAGAATGATGGGTTTATTATTCTGATTCTTTATGGTCACCAGCTGTGAACTCCAGTGGAAAGTACTGGCTGTTTCAGCTACTTCTAAACTTGTGTGTTGCATACACAACCATTTTACAGATCTGGCTTATTTGAGTGCAAACTGCTGGTTCCTTGCACTGACAGATGATCCCTGACTTCAAAGAAAATGTCAATCCTATCTAAGCCATGTCCCCCAGTAGAGAACCTGGGTTCTTTATTAATATCCTACCCCCAGATTTATCCAAAAAAGACACATCTTCATACGAAAAATACAGCACGCTAGTCAAAGAAGTGAAATCAAATGCAAGGAAAGACAAACAGAACTTCATACACGACCTCGCCTCCGATGCTGAAACAGCTGCCAAGATTGGAAACAACAAAGCCGTATTCCATATTATGAAACAAATGTGCAATCACTCACCTACACTAAATACACCCATTAAAGACAAGCAGGGTAAACTACTGCTATCCGACGACCAACAAACAAAGCGATGGGCAGAACATTTCAAGGAAATATTAAATAGACCAAATCCTGACATCATTCCCAATCTAGAAGAAGAAATTATTACACCAACACTAGTTGCCTCCAGCGAGTCATTCACAATAGACGAGATTAAAACAGCTATTAAAAAATTAAGAATAAACAAAGCTACCGGAGAGGACAACATCTCAGGGGAAATGCTCAAAGCAGCGGATGAAAACACCCTGCAACATTTGCTCCAGCTGATGGATGAAGTCTGGCAAAACGAATACCCACCACAACAATGGAAAGATGGTGTAATCTTCAAATTACCTAAAAAAGGCGATTTATCCGATTGTAACAACTGGAGAGGCATCACCCTGCTTTCGATACCAGGGAAACTATTTGTAGTATGCTACTAGAAAGATTGAAAAAATCCATAGATGAAAGATTAAGGGAAGAACAAGCCGGTTTTAGATCCAAGCGGTCATGCATAGACCACATCTTTACTCTTAGAATAATTGTTGAAGATTCTACAGAATTCCAGTCGAAATTATTGATCAACTTTGTCGACTTCCAAAAAGCCTTCGACAGTATCCATCGTCCAACACTCTGGAAATTGCTTAACATTTATGGTTTCCCCATCAAATATATCAACATCATAAAATCTTTTTAAAATGAAACACGATGCTGTGTAAGAACTGAATCCGGCAATTCTGACTGGTTCCCGGTGGAAACAGGAGTGAAGCAAGGCTGTGTCCTATCGCCGATGCTTTTTAGTATAGCAATCGACTGGGTCATGCGCAAGTGCATAAATAACGCAAATTTAGGCATTACATGGGTTGACAAAATTCTGAAAGACCTAGACTTCGCCGACGACATAGCACTCCTGAGTTCAGAACACACAGACGCCCAAGAAAAAATCAATTGACTCCAGAATTTCTCAGAACAAATTGGACTCCAAATTAACACCGCAAAAACAAAAATTTTAGACCTTACCAACAGTTCAGTTGATATCACGCTGAACAACAACAGCCTTGAAAAAGTCAACAGTTTCACTTATCTAGGGAGCAAGATGTCATCTACAGGAGATACCGCACCAGAAATACCATTTAGAATAGCACTGGCATCTAGTGCCTTCAACAAACTGTCCAACATCTGGAAATCAAAGACACTTAGCAAACACACAAAACTCAAGATCTTCAATTCTTGTGTGATTCCAGTACTAACCTATGGATGCGAGAGCTGGAAATCAACGAAAACTCTAGACACAAAATTAGACAATTTTGAAAATAAATGCCTCAGTAGAATACTAAATTTCAAATGGTCAGATTTCCGAACCAATACACAAATAAGGCAAGAATCCAGGCAAGAGTATGTGTCTAATTTTATACAAAAACGCCGCTGGAACTATGTCGGCCACACCCTTAGAATGGATAAATCAAGACTTCCTTACCAAGCCCTCATTTGGACACCACAGGGGAAAAGATCTCGTGGAAGACCAAGGGAAACTTTACGTAGAACTATCATCAGGGAAGGCTCGCTCATGGGCCACTCAAACATCCAAGACCTACAACAGATTGCAACGAACCGCCATGCATGGAGAGTCATGACCTCTGCCCTATGTGCCGCACTCGACACAAGAGGAAAGACTAACTAATTAACCCTTAGATGACGTCACAGGACAGTCCAACATTTTAGAGGGTGGTAAGACTGGGTTTTCCAGCTTTCTGATGCTTTTTAACCCCAAAAAATATCTAGAACTGGTCCTAACCTCAACCCACCTATACGTCCCAAGAGAGAGTGCAGCCTAGGTCCCACTACTGCATGTAGCCTAGGTCCCCTGACTGCATGCAGCCTATCTACCACCCCCTGAAATATTAAGACTGTCCCGTGACATGCGGATTTCCCTTGTTTGGGGTAGGATATTAATAAAGCGCCGGAACCTGTTTCCAGGATGATTGCAGAAAGTTGTAGACAAAGGACTTAACCAGGTATGAGCCCTAGTCCTGGTGCACCACCATGTGTGGTTCATCACTTCTGCACCCCGAAAGGTTTAGCTGGTTTGGTCTGCATTGGTTATTTTGATTTTGTTGAGGTTTGCATGGTTTAGTGGTTACGCCACTTGCATTTTGCTCTCAAGGTTGTGGATAATGGTGCTGCGGGGACAGGCCAGGAGATCTAGCTGATGCTCAACGCTCAGGGAAAAGGCACGATAGAAATACAATCAGACTGTGACTGGTTCCGTGGGAATTTAAACTTTGTGACTGCTGCTAAAAAAACGGGGACGAAGAGCTTATTTGAATGTCATGAGTGCTGTGATGGCGGTTGTTCACTCAACATTCAAGATTGTAGGTTCATTTCCTAGACCAGGTCATTCAATTCATGGGTAACATTTTTACAGAGATTGCTGGGGATCGTTGCTGGAGCCACAGAGTTCATGCATTATGTTGCACTCTCAGCAAGTATCTTTTGCGGATAGTGATCGAGCCTTATAGGATAAAACCCAGTTGATCTTCTTGGCTTTGAATCTTTTTTTTTTGTTTTTTTTTATCTGGTTAATAACATATTTTTGATGCTATTTCGTTTTGGAAGAACCTGAAGGAGCTGGCAAGAAATATGGTGGCGGACTATGCCCTATATTTTCAAAAATATAAAACGAACTTATAACCAGTTCAACTTACTAATTGTTAGTCAGAATGTAACTGTCCAAGGTCGAGGAGACCCAGCACACTTCATTCTTTTTCCTCTTCTGTGTTCACCTTTAAAAAGGTGGTTTGTAAACTTGTGTTGTGGTTTACAACTAGACTGTGATAAATGCACCCGCCTTCTGACCCATCAAATCTGATCTCAACAAACCCCTTTTTAGTTGCATTCAATGGCGTGCCTATTTGGGGGAGGGGGTCTATTTTGTTGTCCCCAAAATGGGGCCATACAAATGCACTTAATTTTTATGTGAAAGTAGGAAAAAAACAAACAAATAGAGTATACATCATTATCATCATTTTATCTTGATCCTCTGGTACCTTGCAGTGTCGAGGTGAAGTATAATTTATGAGAAAGTGCCCATTTGTGCACTAAACATGGTATACAAAACAAACAAATGTAGTGTCAAAAGACAAACTAAGAATAATTTACAATGCCCTCCCAGAGGCCACAAAAATTAGGGTGCTGCATGATCTTCTTCTTTTTCGCTTTAACTGACTGTAAACTCTGATAGAAACTTAAGGTTGTTCATCCCCTGCTGGTGGACTGTAGTCTTGTTCCAGAACTTCTGAGTTTCTGCGTGCACATGATTGTAAAGATCTGGCTGGTTTATCTGCATGTAGACTGTTGGTTCCATGCTTCTCAGGTGCATGCACACTGACTTCGAATGAAAACACTCAAGCTGACATGCTTGAGCTGAGTTGAGTTGCTTCAAGAACTGACTTCACGGCACTCAGGGCATTCCCATAAGCACTCCGTCCCCATCTTTAGCAGCCAGCGAAGAGTTCCGATGCTAATGGTGCCGGTAGCATTATGATTAAACGTTCGTCTTGCCCTTCCTCTGAGGGTCAAGCATCTGCCAGAACCTTTTGTCACTCCTCCCTGCATCAATCTTACCAGACTGTGGTGATCCATCTGTTCCTCCTAACTGTAAACGCTCTCCCACAAGGCACTAACCATGTCAGCCCTATCATGCATTAGTTTTCTACCAAGCTGTGCAGAGCCAGCCTGTCTGTCCACCTGTTCATTTCCCAACACATCGGCGTGTCCGGGTGAGAAAATCCAGACTATGACATGCTTGTTGGAAGGGCAGTGTGTCGACCCCCCCCCCCTCTCCCCCCAAAATGGGTCCCTGGAACCAAATGGGAAGCACTGCATAATGATAGTCATGAAAGGAGACATAACTAGCTTATCATGGGAACATTTAGTAGATGTTCTATGGGGTGGCTGCTGCATCAGAAGAAGGACTGAGCATCCATGGGAATGCCCAATGTGCAGTGATGTCGACTACAATAAAATGTCACCATTGTCCCCAGAACCACCAAAGGAGGACAAGAAGCATCCCGACACACTAGAAACAGACATAGAAGAGACAGTGGACGACAAAGAAGAACCGGAATTAGACGGCGGCACATTATGGGACTTTTTCGTACAGGAACTTTAAAAAATGAGGAAAGAGGCCGGAGAACACACCAATTTTGGTTTGTCCGCGTATGAAGAGTTCTATTATCGACACAATAGAAAAGCTATCGATGTACAAGCACGGAAACAAGCAGAGGCAAGTCGAGAAGAAGGAGAATTAGCAGAACAGACAGATCTAGAGATCTTCTACGAGATCCACAGAGAAGAGTTTCAAAGAAGAGCAGACCATTTCTGGCAAGAATGGGTCAAAAACCAAACTGGACAATGGAAGGACAACAACTGACTTTTGACAAACATAAATAAACAGTGCCTAAACCCCACTATTACCAACCTCCCATAACCCTTTTCTTTC